TGCCGTTAGGTCTCTGCTTTCCTCTGCCAGGTCCAACTGGTGATATGCCAATGAGAGGTCTAGCTTGCTGAAGATGTGGGCACCGGAAAGCTGATGAAAAAGTTTGTAGGGGCACGGTAGAGGGTGGGAATCCAAAACTATTGCAGTGTTCGGCTTGCATAGGCCTACACAGAGCCAAATCTGCCCATTCTTTTTGCGGGCCACTACGATGGGAGACACCCACTCCGAAGCATCGATGCGCTCGATAACCCCGGAGTGTTCCAGCTTCACCAGTTCCTCAGAAACTTTCTCCCGCACTGCGAAAGGTAGTCTTGGTAGCTTTTGTTGGAAAGGAGCGACAGAATCTTTTGTCTTTACCTTATGTACAAATCCTTTCACATGACCTAATCCCTCGGAGAACAGATGGGGGAAGTCTTGTGTGATCTCTGGAAGGTTTCTCGCGGAGACCGTTGCCACCTGTCCTCCGGTGGGAGGAGCAAAGTTTAGTTGGATGTCCAATGCACAAAAGGCGTTTAGGCCCATGACAGCCACGCCTGTTAGTACGACGTGAAATGTGCAGGTGCTGCATCTTTGAGCAAACTGCACCGGTGCGTCGAATTTCCCCAGAACGGGAATGTCTTTTCCGGAGTAGTCCAGAAGTGTTGTACTCAAACATTCCAACTTGTAAGAGTGGAAGTGTCTTCGGTAGACGTCTTTTGGCAGGATTGAAACGGATGAACTTGTGTCGACTAAACGTTTGGTGGGAACATGTGCCAGATGTATCTCGCACGTAACCGATTGTTTGGTAAAGCTGGTAGTTAGCACCTGGACTTGGTCGTGCGCTTGTTCCACTCTTCGTACATGGGATTTTGCTTGTGAAACTCCCTGCTTGCAAACGGAGGCGAAGTGTCCCTTCTTGTTGCATTTTCTGCAAGCTTCATTCTTTGCCAGCACTTAGGATGGTCCGCCATGTGGTGCGGTGATCCACATCTGTAACAAGTGCCGGACGACTTGCTGGGACTTGCCCTCGAATTTTTGGCTTTTATTTTTGCCACTTGTGAACTGGATCCCTCTTCCGTCAAGAGCTTGGCCTCCTTCATCGCTTGCTCAACTGGAGAGGCGATGGCAAGAGCAGATTTTAGGGAAAGTTCAGACTCTAGGAGGAGTCCTAGAGTCCTGTCGACTGCACCAATTGTGTTTTTAATATGAACGCCTATGTCAGACAGTACAGAAAAACCAGCTGCTCCATCTCGTGCTCCGTTCGTATCCCCCTTCCTCTTCGTCCTCGTCTACCAGCAGCCAGGATCAGCTTGTAGACACAACAGAAAGTATACGCTGCTATTTAATAGAGTTGCAGGACGGTGAGGGCGACGCGCTCACTGAATGAGCCGAGTATCACATTCGTACATTCGTCCCCTTCTGTGTTCCTGGGTCTCGGGTTTTATTACCATGTATCACATTCTACTCTGATAACACTCTACGCATTCTACTGCAGTGACAGGGCCAAGCAACATATGTGACCGAGTGGTCTGGTCAGCTTTAACCGTGAGTGTGTCATATGGTGGGCACACCTTTTCAGTGCTGCTCGGTTTGATCGAAGGCGCAAGTGTCAACACCTACACAAAAATCAGCCTCAGAAGAAAAAACTAAATCTGGTTCTATATAAAAACAAACACAAAGAACAAATGCATAATATGTAAAATTAATATGCATGATTACAAATTGAGTTAAATCTGCAGTTACAATTCTTTGCTTCAAGTTGATTCCCAGTTAGGTCTCCATTGGTTCCCAACTGGAACCGGCATATCTCAGTAGAAGTGAATCCAAGTGGACCCAGTTTTAAATTAACTGGCGTACCCGCAACGACCCCCCTCCCCCCTCCCACCCCCGTTCCCTCCCGGGGTTCCGCGGGAGGTCCCGGGGGTCGCTCCTATCCGTTCAACCTTTTTGCAGCTGGGTTACGCACACTTACCACCTGTAACTGAGAACCTTAACGTAACTCAGCTGTTGGCTCGTTGAAAACTACTCATTAGGTGCGATAACCAATGATAAGGTCTTTGCAACAGCGAACACCCATCTAAGCGCGCGGGCGCACTCGGCCGGCCGTCACTACCACCGGTCACGCTGGTAGTGACAGTGTAACGAAGGCTACGGGCACGAGATCAGCTGCGAGACGTTTTTTTCACAGGACGAGCGCCCGGGCTGGAGGAGCGTGCAATGTACAATGCAAGGGACAGCCGATTCGGAGCACACTACCGCACGCGACGCACGCGCTAGGGCCACGGCAGCCACACCCACCACACCCACGATAATAACGTCACGTGACACAAAGACAATAAAAATGTATTTATATGCATTAATACTATTTTTATAACTCACAACTTTTGTCAGGCTGCGTTTAAAAAGTTGTAAATAAACAAATGTTGTGACAAAAATGTTTAGTCACGTGACCTTTTACTGTAAAGCTACATTAAAATCGAACGGGTTTATTTTTATTTGTACTTATTTTCAAAGGCACATTATATTCTGTATGTAGTAATGATTTATATTAGTTATTAATAATTAACAAGGTGACGTCACTTCCGTTACGTCACTTCCGGCGTCGGAGGAGTGATTTGCACACAGATGTCACTCCTTCGACGGGCGTCGGAGGAACTGCGGCAGCCAGAATGTATGGGAAAATGGCGGACCTTTTCCTCTAGAGTTAGTATGTATGATCTCTATGATGCAGGCAGACCCTCTGGGTCCCAAACACGGTTACATCATCAGAGCAGTTTCGTGAACTTCAACAATCCACGAACTTACCGGTGGAAAGATACTCGCGTTCTTTCCGAAGGTTTCTTTTTGTATAGCGCGCAGATGTACGGCCTCGCGTTAACGCTAAACTAAACCATATACCCGGCTTCGCTGGTGGGGCGCGGCTGGGCGCGGTTGAGGAATACGAAACTGCGCAACCACCAGATTTCCGAGATTTCGACAGAAGGGAAGTTAATGCAGCGTAATGACTTTATTGCTTTTTATAAGCGTTAGAATAGCTCAGAATTTAGTTTACAACGTTAAATTATCACTGTTTATATTGCTGAGAGTTTTCACTCTTCGTGTTTACCATGGTACCGTTGCTTTCTTTCTCTCGTGTTCTGTCGCTCTCAAGCCGGCCGTGTCGCGGCGGTCGCCTATTGTTCGCCGCGACCTAGCGGTAGCCGCCGCAGGAGCACCGGGGAGCAATGGCGACGAACAGCACGGCAGGCAGTGTCCCCGTCGTGATTACGAAGGAATTTAAGGCAGTTACGAATTCGGAAAGTTCCTTCGGTAGCCGGTGCCGTCGGCGCAGAATCATCGGGAAATAATAGCAACGAACGCCACAGAGGACAGTGGGCGATTACGAATCCGGAAAGCTTCTTCGGTAGCCGGTGCAGAATCATCGGGGGGAAGTAATGGCGATGAGCAGCACAGCGGACAGTGTTCCCGGGTGATTACGACGGGGTTTAAGGCGGTTACGAATCCAGAAAGCTTCTTCCGTGGTACCTATGAAAAAGGGAAAACTCTTTCGTGAATCTGGCCGCGTGTACGACGTGAAGGAGGTCCGTTTCGACGGACAAGTGGATGTCACGGCGCGCTGTGTTGGCTGTACTCCGCTAACAAAATTAAGCGCGCCCGCAAAAAAATGCAGTTGGCGTTGAGTGGACTGTGGTAATTATGCACGTTTATTTCTGAATCAGCTTGACAATAACTAGGCGATTTTTTGAGCGCCGTTCCGTGATTCCCACTACTATCTTCCTGTAGGCTGATGGAAACATCCAAGGGTAGGCTTAGGTGGGCGACCGCATTCCGCTTCTCGATTCCGGTGAAGTATTTGCCGCATACTTTAGAGTTTGCCGTCGGTGTCGTGCTGTTGCATCGTCGCTAGAATAGAAAAAAATTAATTGTATTATTCGTGAGCAGCTTAAACAAAGCGCGAACTGGAAGGTAAGAAACGCCAGTAACCTGTATGGACGCACAAGTCGCACCCAGGCCGCGCAGTACTCCGCCTCGTACGGCTCCGAAGGGACGATGTAGTACTTCGTGCCGTGCGCGATCTTCGACGTACTGTTGCAGCCGACCACGCAGCAATTGTTACGGCTTTCTTGGAGCGGAATAGCTATCTCAGAAATTGCAGCGCTAACCCACTACAACGCACAACCAACGCAGCGGCTGGCAGAAGCTCCCCGATGCAATGGACCCGTTTGCCGCTAGGGGCGCCCTGGTCGGGGCTTGAATTAGATGCGCACGGTTCCTTTTGCGATCGTTCACTCGGGACCCAGGATGTCGGCGCACGGGATTTGCATCTCCTCCTCACCCACCTTTACCCCCCTCAAATTTTTTTTTTTTTTTTTTTTTTTGTGTGCTGTGCGCGCCTCGCGCACCAGTTACCTAGATGTGTTTGGAGATATGTGTTTGTCCTTTGTCCCATTTGGGGTCAAAGGACAAACAAATTCTCCGTACAGCTCACTTGCACCTATGCGTTATCATGAAGGTTTTGGTTACGGTTGTTTTGGTGCAAATCTACTGAATGCTAGTTTACTGGTGAAGCGTTGCGCGTATCGGGTTTCTATTTGTTCGTGGTGGATCGGGTAGAGGGACATTTTGTGTAATGTTAGCACATCCGTCGACTTGGTCAAAGCAACAGCTTAATTTAACAACCTTTTTATACTGTTTACTGTTTTCGCCTAAATCAAATGTATTTAACATCTTATGACATGTAAATTACCCCTCTTTTTTTTTCTCTGTTTCTCTTCTGTGTCCTATAATGTTGCCTATAATCCAGTACCTGCTAAGTCTCGGTTCTTGTTCCAATCTTCGTTTCTTTCGTGTTGAAGTAACGTGTTAAACAATGCTTATTAACTTTGGTGGTTCAAACTGAATATATGTATGTCAGAAAACGATTTTTTTGTGCCAATTCTGGACATTATGAGAAGAAATAAACCTTAACTGCTCGAGCTTCCGCGTCTTGAGCCGCCGCCGCAGCGTTTATTGTCAGACATCCAGTAGTCACTACTCCAGCCGGCCGCAGCCAGCCGAAGCCGTTACCGCTACTGTTGGGATTGGTAGCACTGCTGGTGGGGGTACCGCGAGCAGTATGGCCGCAAGTGACGCCAATACTGAGGACTCATTGTATCCCATCGCTGTACTCATCGATGAATTGAGGAATGAAGATGTGCAGGTAAGCCTACGCACTGTCACTTACTGCCTGCTTGTGCTATTAGCCACGACAAAGCCCCTATAAATGGGGCCCGCTAACCCTAACGTCATAAGCTCATTTGTTGACACGGGAGGCTGCTTTCACGAAAGACATTTGGGTCGCCCTGGACAAAGTGTTCAAGTAGGTATTTTTTAAACACAGAAACTGTATGACGCGTTGTATACAGGATCGGCGTATGCTCTTCTCCTTTCACCGTGCACTGCTGCAACTATTGAATTGAGTGGCGCACCCATCACCCTTTGGACGACTTCCGTCGTTCAGGAACGAACCTCCGAATGAGCGCAGGCTCGCTCACTTTACCTTGCGGGCTTGTTAGCCGACTCTAATTACGATCTTGAATAATCTACGGTTTTAAATGGTAAAACTTTATTTTTATGACGTAACAAAGGTGACTTTGTATCGCGAAGGAATGCTGACAAACCCCGGTTCGTTTCCTCTTCTAAAATGTGTTAATCTGTTTGTTTCTTCCTTTAAATTGTTATAACATGTAGAGTACAAATTTTATAATTTTACGTGCAGGACCACTTTAGAGACGTTGCCATTTCGTTTTACGAAAAATATTTCGCCGTACGGTATGTTGCTTCATCATACTCCGTTTCACCATAAGTGCTAGCAAAACTGATGCTACAAGCAGGGCATGTTGCCTTGAGCGACTAATTAACTGCGTGAGTGCGCGTGTCTAACAGGCCTGCCCAGAGCGTTGCTTTGCTTTTGTAGCTTCTTCGCTCGAACTTCTTGGATGACCCCTGCATCAAATATTAACAACACGAGCATCTCAGCCTAAACATGGTGCGAGGTTGTTCCAAAAGTCGCAGTCCTATTCACTTTGCAGAAAGCGATGATAGTATAGAATATACATGCTTTGCACTGACGTCGCATCATCCATTTCGCACCACTACGGAAGAAAGAAGGGGTGAAGCTGCTTTTGCACAAATTTTGAGTGACAGGTTAATCTTCTAGAGGGAGAATAGCGACGTCTGGGACGCACAAAAGAGAGTCCTGGTGAGAGAGCAATTTCTCCTTTCCCTCTTCTCTGGTGGTGGCTGGAGAGCTGACAGGATGACGTCAGATGCTAAGTATAAACTAAAGATAGGCCTTATCTGAGTTTGAATCTCTGCAGTAGTCACACTGCAGTGTAGCCAGACAAGAACGCTTGCTGTCATTTGTTCATGAGTGCTTCCTAAGGCAGACTTTATTATGGATGCTCTTGCCATAAGAAGGTTACTTGTAACGTTCTCCTGCCTGTCCAGAAATTGGTGTTACAGCTGAGTGACGATTAAACAACTGCCATTCTGCAAAAATAATTATGGTACTGCTTATGGGGTGCAGTAGGGCATCAGGGTGCACATGGAAAGGATAAGCCAGCTGAAAAGAGGACAGAAAGACTGATGTAAACTTTTAAGGAATCCAACTTCGTAGGACGGGCAGTCACCTGCTAAGGGCATCGACCATACTGTCCTCATCACACGGCTTTCTTTTTTTCAGACCTTAACGACATAGGTAGTCCCAAATCTTTGGTCGCGAGCCAACTAGTTTGCTGATCCCTAAAGCGAGGCTCTTCGTTTGTTGTCTGCACAGTACATTGGGGGGCGTAGAAATGGTGCTACAGAGAAAAGATTGATACGGGAAATACCCTCGCCCTTGGTGCAAGTGCAGGCTGGACTGCGAGGTGAGGCTTCCCACGGTGCGAGTAACTGATAGTTCTCCCCACTTGTCCAGCTGCGGCTGAACAGCATCAAGAAGCTGTCCACCATTGCCCTGGCTCTGGGAGTGGAGAGGACCAGGAGCGAGCTCATCCCCTTCCTCACAGGTGGGCCTGCCTTTGGTTCACCTGTCCGCTCTGTGTGTGCGACGCTTTTGGGGAGAGAGAGCGGTACGCAAAGTACACTCGCAACCCGGAACGGATAATGCACGACAATTCAGTGGGATCCAAATAAATAAGAAAATGTAACAGTTGTGCACTTTGGCTGTACTCTCTCAACTTCTAGCCAGCATTAGGACGGGCAGAAGGGCATGACCTTGAGAGATGCTGTTATTTTCTGGATGCACAAACTGACCGCCGAGTTGACTTGTTACAGCTGTACCTTGGCTAGTGGTGTGCAAGGCATGTGGAGCAGAGTTTACGTATATTTATTCTAGGTACTTTGTCATAGTATTCTTTTTAACTTCATGATGGGGCTGGGATGTCGGCAAACAAGGTGAGTGTTTTCTTTTTTGCAGACTTCGGGTTAAAAACCATGAGGGTAGGCCTCTATAATATTGAGGGTACTACCGTATAGTTCCGAAAGAATGACCATTAAAAATGAAGACATAAATGGGGAAAAACATGGTGTGGGCTATCTTTGGAGATGCCACAGCAAATCTTTATAAAAAATTAATGATGCACACCCTGGCACTGTCTACAAACTTTATAAAAATTTATGATACATACCCTAGCACTGGCTACAAACCACATGATGCCCAGATCGTGGACACTGCAAATTCGTGTTCACGATGCGATATACACCGACACGCGGACGTGACGTCACGGCGCTGCGATCGCGCCGGAGCCGAGGGGTGTGGGCAAAAGAGCGCACGTTTCGCATGGGCGTCATAGTATTTCAGCATGCCGCGAAGCTGTGTTGCCGTTAATCTCACCGAAATGTACAAGAAAAGTAGCGTAGTGAGGTTCTACAAGTTCCCGGCAGACTCTGAAAGCCATAGAAGGTGGATAATATCCGTGTATCGAAAATTATGGTCGCCTCGCGCGTTTGTGCGGCAAGAACTTTCTTGGAAGCAAGTCCGGCTTCCATTTCAATCTCCTTCCCGAGGCTTGCTTATGTGCAGGGGAACCGTTGTCTGATTGAGACCACCCGGATTTTGTTCCCACGGTGTTCGCGCACAAAGCACCGGCCAAGCGCTTATCGGAGGCTCGCTACGCCCGTGCTACCAAGCAGAAGGGGATCGGCGACAGAACGCCAATGTTGTAGGCGTCGCCAAAAAAAAAAAAAAAAGAAAAGTAACGAAGTACGTTACTCGTTACTTGCAAATCAAAGGTACGCGTTACTGAGCTACGTTGCCTAAAAATGAAAGGAATGCGTTACCGCTACCGATAAAAAGTAACGCACGTTACTACTGCGTTACTTTTTTTTAAATTATGATTTAACAAGTTTTATGATTTTGACGATACAGGTATGCTTAAGCTCATATATCAAGAAATATTATGTTTATGCAGAAACAGAACATAATTACTTTATCTCTTTTTGCGGTTTCACTTAAATACTGACGAGAAAAAACGCAAAGAAAAACATGGCTTGACGCCTCAAACACAGAAAAACTTGAAGTGTAATTGTAGTAACGAATAACCTAACTATGTTACTTGAAATGGTAACGTAAGTATGGTACCCGTGACTGTGTCGAAAAAGTAACGAGTAGGTTACTACGTTACTGAAAAAAGTAACGCGTTCCTGGTAACGCCGTTACTTGTAACGTGTTACCGCCAAGACTGCCGAACGGACAAAGCGTTCCTGCTTGTCATGCCTTGTGGTCATGAGACTAGGAAAAATAGCATACCTTGACTCGAAGACGCTGTGTGTATTTATTTAATTAATAAATACACTTCCGCAGACCCACGGTCTGCTGATCCCGCCGGCAGTGCGGAAACCGACTCGAAGTAATCGTAGGCCTCGAGAGACTTGTACGCCTGCTCCGTGTCGGCCATGAACTGGCTTGGCGAAAAAACTAAATAAACGACGACATGAGCCATCGACTTCGGTGGCAGTAACTTCTCGTCGGAAGTCCAGCAGGCCTTGTTTACGGCGTACGGATCCTCGTAGGCATTGCCGTCCACGCACAGTTTGTTTCGATATGCCGCCGTTCAGGCTCGGGTAGCGAGCTCAAATAGTCGGACAGAGCATGCGACATACGTTGCCAGGAAATACGATTCACAAATAAAGCTAGAAGCGTCCCTACAACGTCAACAGTGAGCGCACGCCACACAACGCAATGGCGAAAACACGGAGGGCCGAGTCGCTTTTGTCCACATAGCTACCGCGCATGCGCGGCCTTCCGGCCGTGTTGGTAAACAGAGCCGCTGCGCGTGTCGGTCTATACACGCGGGAATTCGCTACAAACTCCTGTGTCACGGGAAAGGATACCACAGGTTTCGTACGCAGCAGATTTTATGGGCGAAGGACCTGCGGAAACACGCCGAGAACTCGCATCTCGTGGGAATGAATACTGCAAATCGCGGATGCAGCAGATTCAAGTTTTATGGTGCAATAAACACGTGGCAACCCTCTATAAACTTGCCTGTCACGGGAACCGATATCGCACGTGCAGATCGCGGACAAAAATGCGGGAATCCGCTATAAACCTTATGCCACGAGAACGGATATTGCATATTACATATGCAGCAGATTCGCATTTCACAGTGCAACATAAACGTGCGAACAACTCGCGTGTTACAGGAGCCAGTATTGCTTGCGCAGATTGTGGACAAAAAAAGCAGGAACCTGCTATGAACTGAATTGTCAGACGTGCCGGTACAGCAAATTGCGCGGTTGATGCAATTCCCGTTAGACAACACATGGTTTTTGACTGGAATCGGGGGGTGGGCGATGTTTCGGAATTTTCATGTTACAAATATTTATCCAGAAAAACGGGATCGGCAATCTCTCGGGGGCGGGCATTCTCTCGGAACTTTACGGTATGTTCTTGTACCACACCACTTGCCTCCAAAAGTCACTATGCATGCATGTTTCGTTACACCACACCTTTAGGTCAGTACAGCTTCTCTGCTTCACATCCTTGTGGGCATCAACGAAAGACTTGGGCATAACTTGCAGTGTGATATGGTTGTGCGAGTCCTTGGTTGCCCTGGGAAACTGAACGTGTGTTGGTCCCGTGCTGTGCAGACACAATCTACGATGAGGACGAGGTTCTGCTCGCGCTGGCGGAGCAGCTGGGCAACTTCACCCCGCTGGTCGGGGGCTCGGAGTTTGTCCACTGCCTCCTGGTAAGCGCTCACTTTTTCAAGTTCTCCTCGTTTACTGCTAAAAACTTGCTGCCCATTCTGGTTCTTCCTGACAAAATTATTGTAAATAGAGTAGGTGAGAGCCATTAACGTCGGTGCCATCGTGTTTATACCGGGAGTTGTGTTGGGCTCATGCTGCATCATGTGATGTGGTCACAGGACACAACGCACCGTGTGATCTGTGATGTTACGTGTTCATGTGACATGTTATGATCACGTCACCCTGATAATCTCACTTTCATGTCACTTTTTTGTGTTTGTCTTTTTCTATGTAGCCCCACTATAATGCATTCTGTTAAAACACGTCCAGCTTGTCATGGCACTGTCCTCGTGCTGCAAATTTTTCCAAATTACTGTGTTTCGTACCTCGTACCATCCGACAATCGCACAAAATAAAGCCCCTAATTTTTTTTTTTTTTATTATTCATATTTGAAAGGGTTTGTTGGTGCCTTTGTGACTTCTGTGTTGATACGCGTGTGGTGCCTGCCACCAGCCACCCCTGGAAAGCCTGGCCACAGTGGAAGAGACGGTGGTGCGAGACAAAGCAGTGGAGTCCCTGCGCCACATCTCGCAGCAGCACAGCCCCTCTGACCTGGAGCAGTACTTTGTGCCCCTGGTGAAGCGCCTGGCCTCTGGTGAGTGGGGAGCCCCCTGCGGGTTGGAGCCACAGTGAGCCCGAAATCACCTCGGTTCAGGGGAGAGTAGTCCCAAGGCTGGCCGGGGGTGCCATAGTGGTTCCCACTGCTCTTATCGACCATAGATGCCTATAAAGTGAATGACAATCTTTTCTTTCTGTTTCTGATGTTTTAGGGATAGGCTTCTACTACAGCTGAGGGTAGTACGAACTATTGTGAGATCTTTAATTTTGCGTCAAAAATGGAACATCATGTCTTCAGTACATCTTTCAGAACGGGAAGTGACCACACAACATTTTTTGCTGGTTCTTTGCATATCACAGCAGTGGTGCCAGCTTGGACTTTTTTTTTTCTCCTTGTCAACTGGAGATGTAACTGCCAATTTTGTAAGTGTTGCCTTCTGCTAACACTGGCAATGAACAGCAGCTTGCCTGATTGAAAGACCAATTTGAAAAGCTTTTTCTGGAAAAGTGAGAATGCTTCCTTACAAGGTGTTCTCCTAGAGTCAGTATTAACAATGGTATTGTACACTGCAGAAGGTTCATAATTAAAACCAGGACTCGCTTCAAAGTGATGGTTATTTTTGTTAATGTTTTTTTTTTTTTTTTTTCCGGGCTGAACGTAGGTGCATTAGGGTGTAGCAGCGTACTGTTGTTTATTTTTTAAATATGCGAGTTTATTGGGTCAGCGGTAAAGGGGTGGGATAGACTTAAAGTCGCCCACGCACTAAAACATGCAGTGTTGCTACAATCGGCCTCCATAATATATTGTAATATTGAGGCATTGCTTTTGGGAGAGTGGCCTTCCATATTTTTAATTCTTCTGTTACATGCTACATAAGGAATTTGCACTTTGGATAGCACTGTCATGAGATCAGCCGCATTTTGTCCATTCCATTGAACTCTTGGCATTCATTTGAATTATACGCTGTACTGCTGAGCAGTGCTGTGTCATTCATAGTCTCTCTGGCACAAGGGTAGACAAGACAATTTGGGCCCCCTTTGTGCCACAAAAACTTTAGAGGATGAGTCATGATTTGAAATAAATTGGACTGCATTCCTATGCAGAGGCATGGAGTTGCACCGGTGCTTTTCTGCGGCAGCTTTCATAGTTTCGGAGAAGTGTTCTGCTTGGAGTCTAACGTTGATGGTGGTTATGTGTAGCCGCAAGGTAACTACAATGCCCATGGGGCCAACGAAACTCCCGCAAGGGGGATCAGTTGGTCTGATGCTGTTGTCTAATGTGGCGATACCATTCTTGTAGGGGACTGGTTCACATCACGTACGTCTGCCTGCGGTCTGTTCAGCGTCTGCTACCCAAGGGTCTCGGCCACCGTCAAGGGAGAGCTGCGCAAGTGCGTCCTCCGCTCTGCTCACTTGCCCTTTGACTGTCGCAAAGATGAACCTTGTTTGTTGTCGGCATCATCTATCACAAACATATCAGTAGTCTCGGGGATTCTAGCCTCAGGGGGGTGATACCTCTACAGCCCAGTGTGTTGACTATTTTCTGCATTGCTAGTGTGACATGGTTAGTGTCTTCATGGTGCTTTCTTTCACACTGTCAACAGTGCATATCATAAGAGCTACATCATGCCTCAAACATGGTGCCACCCGTGAGGCCTCGTGATTATGAAATGTTTTTTTTTGCAATTAACAGTCACAACATAGGATTTAAAACGCGTGAGCATTAAAACTTCAGAAAGGTTAGCAAACACCTGGTAGATAAACACGCATAAATTTTTAGTACGAGCTCCTGCCAAAAAGCTTGTAAGTTTGTACAATCTTTTACTAAAAAGCCTTCGTACAACAGGTTTATTTTAATGCTGATCTTGCAGCTGGTAGATGCACCGGGGTTTTCTAGTTACTCCTTAAACTTTTTCTATGCTCCATTCACCCCCAAGCTGATGGCACGGTGGAAGCTGCATGCTCATTGAACCGATGAGTGCATAGCTTTCACCCCATTGTCAGCTTAGGGGTGAATGGAATATAAGAGGTATTGAAAGCTTCTAAATTGTCTGCGATAGCGGCCGGCACGAAGAGAGCACCTTTGTTTATGCAAAAAGTCTGTCAAAGCCGGTCTTGCAATGGTAGATGCACTGGAGCTTTCTAGTTGTGGGTTAAGATTTTTCTAAAATCCTTTAAACAACTTCATTTTCAGAAGGACCTAATCGTCGCATATTTTGCAACTCTAGTAATATCGCAAAAAATGGACTTCACGAATGTATTACCCTGTGGCGGCGAATACATAGCAGACCACTTCCCTTCGCAAAATTTTGTACCCGTGAAATCTTTCCGAAACCCACACTTCACAAAATTCAGGACATGGGCCTAAATTTTAAATTTTTTTGAAAAAATTCATTTTTTAATTTTGAGGTTTTCAGTTTAAGAAACTAATTATACACCCTTACACCAAATTTGATGACCATACGCCAAATAGTTACGTTGATATAAAATATTTTCAACACATTGTGAGGCAGTAACAAAGTAAAGGAGTTCAATGTTTGAATGCATTTTTCTCAGTTCCACTTTTTGCTGCAAATTTCACACGAAGGAATCTTTTGTTTGAAGGTGAAAGTATTCTGTTACCACAATCAAGATGTTTCTGAACTGAAATTTACTCAGGAATCGGGCTATCTACTTTATTTTGTTTTAAGTTGAAGTCCTCAGTGAAAAAAAACTAAGTTTTCAAATATTGACAGATGACAGATATGCATCTCATAGTTTGAAGTAATAACTCTTCCTCAAATATTTACATTTAAGTTATTAAAACTAGATAGCCCGAGGTCCCATATCCCCCACTTTATATTCAAGCAGTCAAAATGGTGCTTAATAGCTTCATTTGCATATCATAGATTTCTTAATGAAAAGTGACACATCATCTTATGCAGGTATGCAAATTTGTCCTAGAGAGCTGAAAGTTTGCACAGTACACCTACATTTGAAGCTAAATCTCCCCTGCAAATTTCAGTTCGATCAGTTGAGTAGTTAAAAAATTTGACCTCTAGCCAGTGTCCCCCCTTCAGCCCATGAAAATGGAGTTGTTCGCAGTACATCGAAAGCTTTTAAAGCGTCTGCGGTAGCTGCCGGTGGAGAAGCAACGTCGCGGTCCATACCCAAAGTCCGGCAAAGTGGAGATGGGGTGGATGTCCTCCCGCAGCCACTTCCGCAACCTGTGCCAGGACGACACCCCGATGGTGCGTCGTGCGGCAGCCTCGAAGCTGGGGGAGCTGGCCAAGGCGGTGGAGGCGGAGTGGGTCAAGACGGACCTGGTGCCCATGTGGGCCTACCTGGCCCAGGACGAGCAGGACAGCGTGCGGCTGCTGGCAGTGGAGGCCTGCGTGGCGCTGGCCTCCCTGCTGCCCCGGGAGGACCTGGACCAGCTGCTGCTGCCCACCCTGCGCCAGGCGGCCGAGGACAAGTCCTGGCGGGTGCGCTACATGGTGGCCGACCGCTTCACCGACCTCCAGAAAGCCGTCGGGCCAGAGGTCACCCGGGCGGACCTCGTACTCGCCTTCCAGAACCTGCTCAAGGACTGCGAGGCCGAGGTGCGGGCGGCCGCCGCCCACAAGGTCAAGGGTGGGTCCTTCTTTCGGGGCGTCTGCCGGGGCCGGGAAGGTAAAGACGGGTCCAGAACGTGGCAAATTAAAAGCGCCCACGTCGCTTGTCCCGAGAGAAAGAACGAGAGAGAGGGACAGAAGAGCGGAGAAAGAAACCAGACGACAGGTTAGGCATGTTCGTTTTGGCGCAACAAATTGGACCTGTCAGTGCACTTGCCAACTTTATTTATTTTTATACAATGTGCGATGCCATTGTTTTCCCGTGAAAGAAAGCTAAAAAGTAGGGTAGACACCAACTTAGCAAATTTTGTTTTCCTGCTTCTTCGTGCATAAGAAGCGTCGCCAGCAATATGGTCCCTTTGGGACCACTGATGTACACATATGTGCCTTGCAGTTCCAAAAATGCCGAATGCGTGGGACCCTTCTTTCTAGAATAATACATTCATTGCTTGGCTGTGGAAGTTGAGCTGTCGGGAAATTTTTGATTTGTGAGCCGCCTTCGGGGTCTGCAGAGACAAGCGTTGGAGCCTGTACCCCATCTAGACCTTGGCATGAACCACGTCAAAGTTAGCGAGCATAAGGTCATAGTTCTAAACGAAATCCTCTCTGCGGGTGCATTTGTATAGTTTGGTCACTTTGCAAAGTGACCCAACTATACAAACTATGCCGACAATGTTTGTTGCGTAAAACCCGGCAAACTGCCGGTTCAGCCAACACTTTTCACAGCGTATGAGTGACGATTCGTAGCATCAAACAAAGGAAAGCTTGCCGTGTGATGGAAGCTGCAAAAGAGCTACACTGAACTCCTTTTTCTGAGGTGCAGACTTCTGCCAGAACCTGTCGCCAGAGGTCCAGGAGCAGGTGATAATGAGCAACATCCTGCCGTGCGTGAAGGACCTGGTGTCTGACCCCAACCAGCACGTGAAGTCGGCCCTGGCCTCCGTCATCATGGGCCTCTCCCCGATCCTCGGGAAGCACAAGTGAGCGTCTGTTTCCTTTACGATTTACCCCCCAATCTCTGTCAACTGTCGTGCAGCGTTGTCGGGGCACGCTCTGCTGGGATCACCAGCTTCGTGCAAAGGCCTTTTCAGTGTCCATCCACGGGGCAAGATCCCAGTTCTACAGTCGTTTCTTGGGGTCGAGGAGCAACTCGGAATCATCATTGTACCGAAGAAGCTGGCATATACTATAGTGGGTGACAGGCTAGGAGTTTGGGGGAAAACTGCTCCCGCCTCTTTCCACTCCAGCAGAGTGAATGCTGGAAAGGAGGTCACCTCCTCTCCAGCATTCACTCTGCTAGAGTAGAAAGAGGTGGGAGGAGCTGCCTCCAAACTCTGAACTTGTCACCGGCTATAGGCTTACCCGAAAAAAATATGGAAGGAATTTTCATGGCACAATAATGAATTTCCCATTGCACAATGCTCTTGCTTCGCTGGAAGGTGTCCCTAGCAGTGAAGGCGGCACAGAGAAGTTTCAGCCTGGTATGTTGCCCGAATCGAAAGTTAGAAGTGCTTTCTTGAAGATTGGGACAAAAGGCTGCCCTGGTCCCATCCCCAGCCCAGTCACCCCAGGGCAGCGGGGAGGAGTGAGCCTCCCCTACTGGGGATCTCCAACCACTCCTAATCTGATGCTGGACTTGGCACGATAAAGAAGGTTTATTCTTTCTCTCCATCTGCAGCAGGTGTGAGCTGGTTACTTGACAGTGCAACTCTAGATGCAACTACCTGTTGTTTGCACGTGACTGGCATGTGAAGGTGGTTTCCATACCAAGACGCCATTGCTCAGCGCCGAAAGCTAGCGTCGTCTATGTGCCGCTATATCGAGTTGCCATCGTATACACGCCGCCTGATGGGGGACGCCTCCCCGTTTTTCAAAAACTCCCGACAAATCACTTTTAACTTTTTGGGTTAGCATTTCTGGCTGAAATGTCTGCCTCCTACCTTCGAGTTTGGGGTTCCCTTCCTGGGAAGTTTCGGCATTTTACGACGCATAATTTAATAATGTGCCACAGAAAAAGAAATAATCTGTACATTTTCTTGGGCAGATCTGTCTAACCTTGGATTGAACATAATGATTTGTGTTTACTGTCAGTGGATATGATGCTGAACTCTATCAACAAATTGTATTGCCCCTGCCCCGCGGTCTCTTGTGCGACGTGTTGACTGCCGTTTTGAAGTTTACCCCGTATCTTCTTCCTGCGATGGCAGTATAGCAGGTAGTTAACTTAGTGGGGGCCACTGTGCGACAAAAGAGAGCTGTCGAATCAAAGCGAGAAAGGAGGCTAAAGCCGGTGGTGCATCTCGGCCCCTTGAAAATGTGCATGCTGATAAGGACGGTTCTTCGAGTTTCCTTCATGCTGCACCATCTCACTGCGTCTGTTGAAAACGGGAGCAAACCTTCGACGCACTTGCTCTATGGGGAGGTGGCACCATTCAGATGCCTCTTTGTTTTTCCGCCGTGGTGAAAGTGCCGCACGATTGAGACTCCGGTCTTCAGCCTTGACTCTGTGGCCCTCTTTTGGTGCAGCACGGTGGAACACCTGCTGCCGCTGTTCTTGTCCCAGCTGAAGGACGAGTGCCCCGAGGTGCGGCTGAACATCATCTCGAACCTGGACTGCGTCAACGAGGTGATCGGCATCCAGCAGCTCTCCCAGAGCCTGCTGCCGGCCATCGTCGAGCTGGCCGAGGACTCCAAGTGGCGCGTCCGCCTCGCCATCATCGAGTATATGCCCTTGCTTGCCGGACAGCTGGTGGGTCCACGCTCCTCACCAACAATCGCCGTCTGCTGCTTGAGCAGAGACGTGAAACGCTCGGCCATCTTGCTCTAGTACCGGGCACCCATTGTCCCAGCATTTGCCCCTTGGATTAGACTCGTCCACCCAGTAGTATACATGATACGGTATAAACGGCGCAAAAAAACATGAACGGAAGGGAAGAAACAAGCAATCCGGGACAAGCAGTGACTCACAACTGTAGGTTTATTACTTCAAACGAGTATAAAGAAGACGAGAGCTATAAAAACACGTGTCACACGTGCACCACTCCATCACGCAATCGCATTAGTGTCTCCCTTCGTGGAATGTAAAATGTTTGTATCTTTTTTTAGATAAGGCCATCGACATCTCGCTTATGCATAATTCACCCAGACTGCGCTTATTATGCCTGGTGGTCTTCGTTGGAATCTGTGCCAGTGGTAGTTTGTGCCGGTTTTCTAAGGCATCCAAGTTCTATTCATTCCTTAAAGGGGCACTCAAGTGCTTTTTGGAGAAGCTTGTTTTTGGAAGCATATTGTTTGTTGGGCTTCAGTCAATAAAAATGACCAGTTCTAAATGGCAAGGCGCCCTAGTAAACTCACAGCAATAGAAATACACAGGCACTATATCCTCTTGCGGGGTCCATCCCGTGTCTCCACCACCTCCATAGAATTCGACCAATAGAAATAGCGAACTGCGAAAAGATTGCTAAAGGTATTATTATTGCTCTTTTTAGGCACATGCACATTATATTTTGACAACAACGTCAAATCTTTGGCTGTAGGTGACGTAATACAGCTATTATTGTTTGAAAAAGAGCGAACTACGTTTTCTTCTCGCCTTGTTACGCGGGAGTGATGTGCCCAAGCACATCACTCCCGGGTGTGCTACAGGCCAGCTGTAGCACACCCGGATCGAGGCACAGCCCCTCGAAATCCGGGTGGCTTGTCACGCAGCTCTGCCGGCCCTGCTGCTTGCGAACGGCGGCCGGGGAGTCACGGCAGCAGACACACTCTGCGACGGTTTCCATCGGCACGCAGCAACTGCATTGGCACCTTAAAACAGAAAACCAGCATCAGCTATACATATGAGAGGTGTAATAAACAGCTCATCACCTACCAGTTGGTGTTCCCAAGCCGCTGGGTTGCGTCGTCGGTTTCGTCGTCTTCCTCCGGTGTCGACATTGAGCATCGCGAACTGTCGTCCGAGTCCGTCACGTTTGAGGCATCGGCGTCGCGCGTAGGAGTGGCGTCGTAGGAGATTGAGCTGATATCTGCCGTCCGCCGAAGTATTTCCACCTCCAACGGTGTTAGATTTGGCAGGTCCATCTCCGCACGACGCAAGACCCGAAGTAAACAAAATGAGTCCCAACGAGAATCCATCAAATACGCGCACATTCGGAAGATCACTCTGCCGGTTCGAAGGATCAATCCGCCGGGAAGCCGTCACTCGTGATTGGATGGCGCACGCCCTTCCCTGCTGCCTTCCCGTCCGACAGCGCCCCTGACGGCGTGCGCCTAGGCGCAGAACAGCGATCTTTGATTGGATTTTTAATAGGGAAATCGGCCGCCCTTGAACGTAATATTGGGATTTCTAGGATGCTTAGAGCCCGCAGATTGAGTTATGACAATAAATAGACGATCTCAGAATCCACGTGAGTGCCCCTTTAACTCTAAACAAAATGCTTCTCCGGCATAGGTGCACTCTAAGTACAACTGAATCTTGCATCAGTAACTCCCCGGAACCGAAAACTCTTGCGGTTTGTGCTACCACACGTCGTGCAATGGAAAGATTACCGTATTTATTCGAATATAGGTCGACCTTTTTTTTTCGGAAAGGTTGTCAAAAATTAAGGGTCGACCTATAATCGTGACCAAAGAATTTCGACCTAATTCGCGACCAAAATTTGAAACCCTACCGAGGGTATGGAGCTATCAATCACCTTGAAGCAAGAGCCGCGTGGCTTCTTGCTTCAAAAAGCTTTTGATGCACAAAAACAACCGAACAGCAGCAGCCGACAGCCCGTGTCCGCCGGCTACGGCTCTCGCGCATTTTCCTCGGGCGTCGGGTTTTGCCATCACGCCTGTAGCGTTCCCCTCGCTGGGCAAGGGGGAAGGGGAGGGAGAGGAACGCGATGCGCCGTGCACTTTGCCCTCCTATGCCCTCCTATGCGCTCCATTCCTCTATCCTTCGCAAATGCGCAAAAAAAAAAAAAAAAAAATTAAAGATATTTTAGCTTGTTTTTTTTTTGTTTTTTTTTTCCGGTGGGTCGCGTGTTGCTCACGGGGCTCGCAGCGTTGCTCGTGTCTTTGTATTTGGTCTTTCGTGGCTCGCCCGTCTCCACCTTCTTTCCTTTCTGCTGGTCGTCATTTTACAACTTGCGAGGATGTCTACTAAGCTGACGAAGCTTCGGACGACGATATGTCGGGAAGTTCTGACGATGAATAAGTTTTTGACATCGCCCTGTGATTTAGCTGAGAGTGCTGTAAATAAAGGTTTTTTTTTTTTTTTTCCCTAACTTTCCCCTGTTCCTTAAAAAAAAAGAAAGCTCGACCTATATTTGAATTATTTTTTTTTATTCTCGATGGGCTCAATAAATAGGGGTCGACCTATTTTCGTGGTCGACCTATTTTCGGGTAAATACGGTATGTAGGCTCATTAGCTCTCCAATGCAAAATTGGCAAAATGGTGACTGTTTTCGCCCATCGCTCGCAAGAAGCTGAGCATTGCTCGTAATCAGAGGCATTAAAGAACTTGCATACTGTGCTGTAAAACTGGGTGCAACTCGATTTGAATGCACCCCATTACTTTATTGCGTAACTGCATTATGGTGAAACTAAGCGCAAAGCTGGTCCTTGTGAGGGAGCTGCCAGTGACACTGGCCATTTTCCTTTCCAGGGTGTGGAGTTCTTCGACGAGAAGCTGAATGCCCTCTGCATGACCTGGCTGGTTGATCACGGTGAGTGTGTCTATTAGATTAATTGTATACTCTCTGCCTTGCGGAGCAGAGTACCGCAATGGTACTTCAAGGGCGGCCATGTTGGATGAAAGGCCGCACTGCGGGAAGCGACCGTCGCTTCTGCAGGAGCCCCGGATGCGCGAGCTACACGATCGTCCTCCGTGTCGTTTTCTCCCCGGACGTCGAAAATCTGTTTTAACACATCGCTCGTCTAATAAAACAACGCGGTTATACTGTACCCAGCGGATACACATATTGTTGAATGGTCAGGGAACCTTCCAGTTTGTTCTATTTTAGTGTAAGATGTATATTTCGCAAACGCAAAGCATGAAACATGATGCGCCAGAAATTCGGTGCCTGCAAGGTCGCTTCCCCACACGGAGGTCGGATCCAGCTTTGTGCACGTGACTGCTTCTCCGCCAATAGGACGTCATGGGACGTCATGCTGTTGGCCCTTGTTCCCAGCGCATGCTCAGAACTAGGTTTTATTTATCGTTTTCCAAGAACTGCGATTCCGACTGTGCGGAATGGACACTGAATGTTGTACCCTCGTGCATTCCTCGCAGGCAGTGAAGTCGTAAAGCTATGGATATACCCGTGCGCTTGTGAACCTTGAGCATCGATCAAAGCTGTGCACGAGCTATGTTCACTTCTAAAATGCCCAAAAATGCTGTACTTGAGCATCGTCCTGAGCATGTGCTGCGAACAACGTCCAACAAAATGTCACCCCGTGAATACGAAGTTGGCGGCGAAAAGAAAAGGAACGCGATACTCTGGCTTTACAAGCAGAGCCTATACAGTTACTGTATTTACTCGCATGATGAACACACTTTTTTCTCTAAAAATTGACCCATATTTGGGCACAGGGTAAAATCATTACACGGGGTAAATATTTTGCATTTACACACTTCGTGCAAATGTCATATTACAGTTAAACCTGGATATAGCAAAGTTGACGAATTCTCGAAAAACTTTGCTATAAAGAGGTTTTCGTTATGTGCAGTTTCAGCATAAAAATTCGGCAAAAAAATGCACAAATGAAACAAAAGTATAAGTGGAGGTCGACATCACCCAGAACATTTATTTGGCGGCAAAAAACTGCGTGATTTTGCTCTGCTGCTTGTCCATGAGGGACGGCAGCACAGAACGCTCGTATGAGATTAACGCAGACAATGCTGCCCCCCTTCGTCCAGCGAGCCCGCGGCGTGGCGTAAAACGTCAATCGCACCAACACTTTCTTCGCGGACGGCAAGTCACGTGTTGCATCGACTTCCGAAGGTCTGTCGTCGTCATCTTGATGTTGGACGCTTTCGACGAGCGCCTTATCTGACATCTTTTCGGTAGTGGCGGCGCAGTCGTCGGCATGCTAAAAGGCGCACAGCTGCATGTCGTCCGGCACTGCTCCGTTTGCGCGCAGTGAAACCCAAGCTTCGGTGTGATCGGGTGGGCTTGAAGGCTTCTCCTCTCCACTGCCAGTTTCTGGACATTCCTCAGCTGTTTCAACCTCTTTAGTTATCCGGGCCTTTCTGAAGCAGTTTGAGATCACATCCGCACTCGTTAGACGCCAGGAAGCTTCAAGCATTTCAAGCACACGGAAAATGTCCACTTTTGTCTCCCGCTGAAAACGAAGGTCCAGAAGAAGCCTTTGGATTAGCCTACGCCGGTAGGAGCACTTGACGCTGTTAATGATCCCTCTGTTGAGGGGCTGTACTAGCGACGTGCAGTTTGCGGGCAGATACTGCAGTTCAATGTTGGTCCGCTGGAGGCCTTCGACATGGTGCACTGTACAGTTGTCTACAAAGAAACAAACTCGGTGTCCTTGCTTTTTCATGTCCGCATTAAACTCCTTCAGCCAGTCGCTGAATATGTCTCGCGTCATTCATGCCTTAGCGTATGCCGAGTACATGTCAGGCATTCTGTGTGCCCCTTTGAAGCCCCTCAGTCAGGCACTCTTGCCGATGACCAGCGGAACCCGCTTGTCAGTTCCATCTGAATTCATGCACAGAAGAACAGTGAGGCGACGTTTACTCTGCTTGCACCATGGCAGACGCCTCCTTTCAGCGTAAGGGTGCGGTTTGGGAGCACCTTGTAAAATAGGGCCGTCTCGTTCCTGACAGCTTCTTCTCAACCCAGGAAGCGGCACCCTCGCTGTCCGCAGAGGACGACTCGCCGCTAATCATTCTGCCGACGATCCCATACCTGTTTTGGAAGCCTTGCAGCCACCCGTTGCTCGCCTTCAAATCGTTGCAACCCAAAATGCACGCATACTTCTTTGCCTTCTGCTGCAAAATAGCGCCGCTGATGGGGACATTTCGAGCCCTCATGTCCATAAACTATGTGAACACAGCCTTGACAACGTCGGCGTATGTGGACTGTTTCAGCTTCTTCTTGCTGCTGGTGTCAGCCTCCACTGCACTGCAAATCGCATCTTTGGCATTCAGAATGGTAGACAGGCTACTGGCCGCGATGCCAAATCTCGCAGAGACGTCCTTCTTTTCGCCTGCGGCAACGGCGTCTAAAAGGCTACCTTATCTTCAAGGGTCCATACTTTTCGTTTCTTCGTCAAGGCACTCACCTTTAGATCGACACAGTTCTTAGATGCAAGGACAAAAGAGTTGACTCGCACGTGCAAATCGCAAAAGGGCAGAGGAAGCAGTGAGGCGCAGAAGCCACAAGCGAGAAAAGCGTGGGCGGCGTATTTTCTCCAGGATGCAGGGCGCGGGAGGAGCCCGAGGAGAATGCGGCGCCAGAGGAGGTTCGCTTGGGAAAGCTGGCCGTCTGACGGCATTTTCGCTCCTAAAATTTGTATTTATTTATTTATTTGAAAATACTATCGGTCCTTTACGGGACTAGGATAGGAGTGGGATACATGAGGAAATTTAACACAATAAAGTAACTACAGCCCAACAATCAGTTCCACTCCTATCCTGGTAAAGCAAACACAGTTTCCTCCGTGGTTTGTTCTTTTTTTTCCTTCCATGGAGCTTTTCTCCTAGTGTCACGTGGTGCTAAGATAACGAGCGGTTTGGAGAGGACTTCTCCGGCAGCCGGCGCGAAGGCCGTGGAAAACCCACGAGCACGAGGCGAGCGCGGGCCCGCGAGCAACGGAAGATGGTTTGAAAAAAAAGGGAAAGGGCGCCGCCGACGCGTTCGGCCGTTGGGCAGTCCCTCCCCTCTCTCTCCGTGTTGCGCCAGCAGCACCGCAGCACCCCGCGGGAGCTCAGCAGCGATAGCATTGCCGCGGCTGTGCGCAATCACATTGTTTCGCGCTCTCTCGGCGGCAGGGCAGCCGCGCAGCAGATGCATGCAGCTGTCTATCAAGCTAAAATTTTTAAAAAATTGGGGCAAAATGTCTAGGTATTTGGCGGGAAAAATTCGTTATTTCCAGGATTCCTGCCGCTGCTAGTTTGTTAAATAGGGGTGAGAAATACAAATGCTTCTATGGAGCAGTGGCGGGGAATATAAAAACTTCGTAATATAGAGGAATTCATTTTTGGGAGGTTTGTTATATGCAGGTTTAACTTAGGTGCCAATATGACACGGCAAGGACTGTGGCACGTTTCCAGTGATGGAGGCGCGTCCACGGCTGGTCGGGGGCGTGCCACAATAACCATGCCTTATAAATTGCCAACCTTTTTAGGGCGCTTTTGGGGTGCCTTTTGCCGAAGGACAAGAGCCCTACGAAGCTCACCTAACATAAAAAGCAACACGACCAGACCGTTCTTAGGCGATATATATTGCTAGTATACAGCGGGCACACTTAGGTATAATCTGCGACTACACATATAAGAAATAAACGCATTTATCCGGAGTATGTGAAGTTAGGCCTAACCACTTTCACAATATCCACTGTCCGAAAGCAGACCACAGACGACGGCTTGTTTGTTGACATCAATGCATCCGATAGGCAAAGAATGTCCGGGACTCGGCAAATCCTCGACCCAAGCTTCAGCAAGTGTGCGCGACACTCGGTTTCTTGGTTGATCACTTCTGTAACTACCACAACTACGCACTTGCGGCCATTACGTGAGCAGCCTGGCTTGGCTTGGCCTGACCACTTGGCGGCAAAAGAAAACTGGCTTGGTGGCTTGCCGAGTTGGACGCAATTCGAGACTCGCAGGTCCGAAAATTGGAGGTGCGTCGATTACGGGAGGGGGAAAAAAAAGTCTAAATATTGATGCCCATTGTGGGGGGTGCGTTTATTATGCGAGTGTGTTTATTATGGGGAGTAAATATGGTTTTCAAGTATCCATTCTCCGACATGGCCAGGATCCCCTTGTCCGTCCATCTAGACACCTTGGAGAGCACAAAAGCAGAAGTTGCTGTCTCTGCTTTGCAGTGTTTGCCATCCGAGAGGCGGCAACGCAGAACCTCAAGAAGCTTGTGGAGAAGTTTGGCAAGGAGTGGGCCACCAACACGGTGATCCCCAAGGTGTTGACCATGTCCCGGGACCAGAACTACCTGCACCGCATGACCTGCCTCTTCTGCATCAACGTGAGTCATGGGAGCATGACCCCCGGGAGAAGGCACTCCACTTCTTTTGCTTCCGATGCCTTCTCCACCTTTGACTACACCCTAGCATCTAACCGGCTCCAGAGTTAGTGCCGTCCATGCTGGTGCCACTCAGCGATCCACAGAGCACCAATATGCACTATCTTCTGCTCTGTGTTTCTGCAGCGATGCTCGATGAAGACCTGTGTCAATATGCTCATTGAGAAATGAGTGAAAAGCGACTTTGTGCTGTCGAATGCGTTTCTGTTAGCTGCTTCCCTCTTGGGCAGGTGCTTTCCGAGGCCTGCGGGGGAGACATCACGGGCAAGCTGATGCTGAGCACGGTGCTGAGCCTGGCCGGAGACAATGTGGCCAACGTGCGCTTCAACGTGGCCAAGACCCTGCAGCGCATTGCGCCCATCCTCGATGCCCCGTGAGTGCACGCTGCCAAGACCTCTGCCGATTGGCCCTGCACACTTGAGGAGTCGCGATGCCCTGGGGTTCGCCAAATATTGCTTAAAATTTCCTCGCGAAAATTATGCATCGCTTATTAATAAGATAAAGGCCGTGCTGGTCACCGTCGAGGGGTTATTTATTGAGGTATGAAGCGTTTAAAGGGACACAATGCCTCCAAAATGTTTTTTTATTTTCTGCCAGGCAATTTATAATGGTGTCAGAAGACTACCCAAGCAATATCTTGCTACAGTGTCACATATTTTCAATAATGTAAAGAGACACAACTCCTTGAAACCGAACTAGAGAGAAAGGAGAAACGTAGAGGGGGGGGGGGGGGGGGGGAGGGGCGCTGTTTAGATTTTAGAAAGAATTGGGGTGCATGCTTTGTTTTCTGGGTTTCAAAACTGCGATCGATGTTTTTCCACTTCTTATCATCCATATTTTTTCGCTCTATTGACCTTGCACCTCTAGCACAAGTGGTACCCTTTGCACACCACCACCCTTCCTATTCACTCCTAGGCTCTCTAAATTTTACTGATTTAGTGGTCTTTAGTGATGGTCAGCGAGATAGTAGTTGCATCCATATGCTGCTTTTCAGTAACCAAAGTGTAAAATGTACAAAACTAAGCAAAGACTTCATTACCCAAAATGCTACGCACCTCACTTAATTAGGGCCCTTCGCAACGACTAATACGGCACGAGTGGTTTTTCTCTGCAACACATAGTTTTCACAGGAAGAGGTTGGCCAGCATTGGAGTGGAACACTCAATATATGGCAGCAGTGGCATACTCTGGCGAAACAAAATTGTTGGGCATTATTTTGAGTGCAGCACCTCTTTCCCAAAGTATGTCGGGTGATGGATGCACCTCTCATTTCTGTTTCTAAGATATGCTTGCTATTGTGACTATCCTTTGTGCAGCACTTTGCAAGGCCAGGTGAAGCCTTGTCTGGAGAAGCTGAACACTGACACGGATGTGGACGTTCGTTACTTTGCATCGGAGGCCATTTGTGGTGAGTTCTTTCGGTCTAAGGACTCTTTCCTTTGTACTGTTGTACTCTTTGTGTCACAGATATGGGGCCAAACCAGTTGCAGTGTTTGCTGAAATCTTTTGCATTTTGAAAAGAATCAAAACTTTTGGAAGATGAGCCTGCTACACTTGATCTAAAATTTCTAACTAAAAGATCAACTACACTTGCTAAGTGTAGTTGATCTAAAATTTTCTGGTCCTCTCATTTCTGACTCATGCTGTGACTGCATAGAGCAATTAATTTGTGAGGCTCGAAAGGCCCTTTAAATTGTAATCTCTCATTGCTCATGCTTAAGGTTCCATGTTCTCGGTATTTACCGGTAAACACCAAAAATTAACCCCCGAGGCAGTTTTCTTTGAATTGTTGAAAACGAAAAAGCCCCAAATTTGAGCTGTACTTATAATTGCATAAACAAAAAAACAAAACAAAAACTGCCAGTTTTACGGAAGGAATTTTCTACCCCTTTTTTTTCCTCGTTCACCCAGAACACTGCCGCACTGAACTGTTTTTATGGTTGTTCCTTTCTATCAAAACCACATTCCTTGCCCTGCCCCCTTCTTTATATTTTCTCCAGTAATTATAAAGTTGCTTTACAACACAAGCTTAATGCACACCAATTTCTCTCTTGCATTTAAATTGGACGTAGAAAAACACCGATTCAAAGGGAAAATAACCCCAGATTGTGAAGAAAAATGAATACTGAAAACACAGAACCCTACTTACGGTTTAGAGGGATGCGCATGTTATGCTTGTGTCTTTTGCTTATCTCCATTTCCAACTCACCGTATGTGTTCTTGCCTTGCAGTACTCCCCTGATGGGTCACTGCGGAGCCGGGCTTAGCAGCGTTCCACGGTCCCCCCACTCTCTCCCTTGAGCGCATTTTGGTGTCAAATAAAAGCCTAGTTGTACGAGTATATGTCCGTTTTTATTGGTCACGCCAGCCGGGGCCGCTTCTCACCCCTGGCTGACTTGGCTTGGCTTGGTTCTGGCCGTGGTGCGGGCGTTTCCTGCTTGGCAGCCTCTTCGTGCTGCTTGGGTGGGAAGTTTGCGGCCAACTCGGCGAGGAGCAGGTCCACTCGGCGCCTCTGGAAGATGCTCCCCGGCGCGTGCTTGGCGGGCGGCTTGGGCTGCGGCCGGCCGTCCGGAAACTGCCACCAGTAGCCACGGAACGGGTGGTAGCGGGCAAAGGACAGGGATTCATCCAGGGCAGCCTGTAGAGGACGGTTTGCTCAACTCAGTCGCCAAGAATTACCGCTCTGCTAGGGTTTTTTTCCTAGAAGATTCAGGAAACCCTTGTGGTGTATTTCGGTAAAGCTATACTCAATTTCGGCATGACTCGCCAACAAAAGTAATGGCCCAAAGGCAGAGCAACGAGAAGCCCTATGGGGCTGCACACCGATGCTTTTGATGCAACAATGTCGCACCCAAAGGAGTGTATGCACGGAAACTCCGTACAACGAAAACGGACCTCACTATAACAACCTACTGCTCCGACTACACCAGTGAGCAACTGTTCTCACGTCGTTATGTAGCTACTATCCTTGAATCAATGCCTCGCTCATTTGAAACCGGCCCACCTCTTGCACAAGGTGAGACGGCGTTTTGAATGAGCCATCCGAGTGCGGGGCCAATATAGTTTGACTCGCTGTTGCTAGCAGACGTGTCTTTCGATTCACATTTCTGATATCATTTCGAAGTTGAATAGCCATATGCCTCAACAGGTGCTAACATAGCTTAGGGACAATACTGTGTTACTAACTCCACGTGAAAGTAGAAACAGCCTAAAATTGACCGTTGAGGTCTCTGCCTTTGTTCTTATTGTATACACATTGCTGGTATGTTCAACCTAGAGCGATCGTGAAAAAGTAGATGTCTCCACCCGTTCGCGAGACGTGCACCCAACAAGATGGTTATAGTATGTCCGATGCTAACATGACGTTGCTCACACTGCCATCTCGTGACATGCCTTGCCTGCCCAGTGCGAACGAGGCATTAATCAAACGAGCATTTACAACAAAAACAAGACAACAATGCACGGAAATGAAAGCAACCTTGCAGCGGTTCAGTTTCTTGTGTACTGTTTAGTTGTATAAGTTTATCGCATGTTTAAATATTTGTTTCATTCGACTGATTCTGTGACTAACGAATAAATGTGTTCCATTCGGTATGTGCATTACATTCATTGCATTTCATTTCACTATGCTCGGCACATAGACGTCGCGCCTGAAACTCGTGCCGATGTCATATACACAGCCTACCAGTTTTCTTGCGTGTCAAACTGTTTCAGTAGCGTATGCGAAGTAGTGCTAAAGGCTTGTCCAAACAGGGCAGTTCAGAAATCTTGAAGCGACACAACTCCGACATAAGTCATGCGGTGGTCCACTTTTGTCTGTTTTTCTTTTGCCGGGGAGAAAGTCCCCTCCGTCAAGTTTGCTTGTGTCCTTCATGGGGGCCTTGAGCATGCTGAAGCTGGTTCAGACAGTCACTTGCATGCTCTGTTGGCACAATCGCTCAAGGCCTCCGCTGCTCTTCAAGCGCCAGAAATGGGAAAGGGAAGGGCTGTGTTCTAAATATTACCCAAATAGATCTGATTTACTCCAGCAGGTTGTGTCGGGAGATTACACAGATAGAGCAATGCTGGACGTGGGTAGGTCTTCGAACGCAAAGGTACAAACCTTTACTGGAATAAGATCAGGTAAATTTTGGAACACGGCCAAGGATACGAGGGTCCGACAGAACAGATAAACAGCATTGGCAGGTGGCGTGCGACGTCTAGTATGACCAGCACCGAAAAGCGGAGGAAATGAGGCGGAAAGTTGTGATGTCTCCTTGGTGGTGTTCAAACAGACATTGGACTGCCGGACTTCAACCGCTTCAACTTCCACAACTTTTGACGGAGTTGTGTCGCCTTATGATTTATAAGGCGATTTTTATGCCAGATGTGATATTAAATGCTGCATCACACCATCTTATCACCTCCGCAGCCTTCATATATTTAATTTCTCTCTCGGCTTATCATCTTGCACTGAACTCTGGTGCACGTTGTCTAACAAGTTTTGGTCGTCACAAAAATTGTCTTTCCACGTGACAAGATTTAAAGGGGATGTTTTTGAGCACACTCTTCAGCAAGTCAACCCCCAAACCTACACCAATGGGTGCGTCGTGAGCAACTTTAACGTGCACAAAGACTGGAACCACGTCATGGCCCCGATACCATCCAGCCCATCCGACGACCAACTCCTTGATGTCTTGGAGACCTCTGGTTACATACAGCAGTGCAGAGAGGCATTATACACCTCCCACAACCAGAACCCATTCTTCGACCTAGTGTTCACCAGCAGCTTGTCCTTGATTTAGAGCTGTACAGTGCAACCGAGTCTTGGTGGCTGTGATCACAGTGCAATAAGTGTATCAGACATATATATATAAATATGTACTTCCATCTTCCTTTCCCAATACAGTTGAGAGTAGCGCCCATGTTTGCCTTCTATCTTGTGTACGTCTTTTTAGCGCTTTTAACCATGGTTCAATGCAGTCAACACTAACTAGCCCAACAACAAGTTCTTTATAAAAAAAAAAGTATGAATGTGGGCTAGTATAAGGTTTATCGCTTCATGCACTTCAGAGGACATCGAGGAAAGCCGTCAATGCCTTTCTTAACACGCTCTCTCAAACTTCCCTGTGGTTAAAGACATAAATACTATGTGTTTTTTGTTTTTTTTTTTGCCATTCCGCTGGTTTTTGTACGGTCATCACCTCAGACTGTCACGTCGTCAGAATGGGAAGGAAAAATAAGTGCACTGAAGATTATACCCGCGAAGTCCGCGATTTTGAGGTGTGTCCTGACGGAAGTTGTAGCGAAGACCACGTATGTATATGTGTCGTTATTCTTTGAGTGATCGCAAATATCACAGCTACAAGAATCATCTGATCCGGTGTCTGATGGTGTTTCTTTAATACTCACCGAAAGAAACCGGTAAACTGTTTTGGGAATAAATATACACCGAAAAAAAACGAAAATTGAATTTTAAAATAAACACCGAAAAAAGTATGCCGAATTTCGAAAAAATAAAAACCGAAAACGCGGAACCCTAGATATAGGAAAGGAGGAGGCGGGAAGAAGTGGAAAGCGCGAAGTGTACGTCGGCCTTTAAGCCAAACGCAGGGGGGCTCAGCATATTGCCCAACACTTCCTCGAAAATGTCAGCAAATGCTCAAGCCCCCCCTGCCCCCCTGGTTCCGGGGTCCCTGCATCCTTTTGCAGAGAGCCCGGAACTGGGGGGGGGGACGGGGGGCGCTTGAGCATCCGCTGACATTTTGCTCCTCGCAAAGTGACTAACCTTGCCAAAAGTTAGTCACTTTGTGAGGAAATACAATTGTTTGCGAAACTTCACACTGCCCACCTGGACATGCTACTCCATCTGGCACCTTGCTCCATGGTGCTGGAGAAGGCATGTGCCGACGAGATGTATGAGATGTAATTGGACTTCATGCACGTTATTGAATGGGAGTGTGTACCCACAAAGACTAACTGAAGGTTTCGCACAAGCCCATGGATCACCGCTGACATCTTAGAGGTGGCCAACCATAAGCAAAGGTTATTTAGAAAAGCAAAGAAAACAGGAGATCCGCACATCCTCAATCTTGCTCGCCAAGTCCAGAGGGAGCTGAAGAAGAAACTATGTGTGCCTTACACAGCCTATGTACAGAAGATTGCAGAAAAGGCTGCCCCAAATCCAACACTGTTTTGGTCCTTCGTAGAGCGGCACAAAACGACTTCCTCTGCTCCTGTGTTCGAGAACAACAGAGAGGTAGTTAGAATGCCGCAAGAGACTGCCGCCATCTTCAGTACCTATTTTGCGTCCGCATGGACACAGCAGGACAACCCTCTAGCTCATCCCCATCTGCAAGACCTTCCCTCACCTCCCGAGCCCCTCGCACCTTTAGACATAACTCGGGAAGACACTGGGGAGGCACTGCAAGGTGTGAACCCGGCCCAATGAGCAGGGCCTGACAGTATCCACCCAGCGTTCTACAAGGCGTGTGCAAGAAAATTCTGCCCGATCCTCACAAACGTGTTCTCTGCATTTCTTAAACAGAGGTCAGTCCCACTCAAGCAGAAATCAGCTTTGGTTAAGCCAGTGAAGAAGGGAAACGGCACCTCCATAGCATCTGTGCGCTCAGACCGCCCTATCTCCATTACATCAATTGTGTGCAGAACAATGGAGCACATTATCAACAAAAAATACTAAATCAATTGGAGGGGTGGAGCCTGCTTTCGACCCACCAGTATGGTTTTCGACCACGCCATAGCTGCGAGCTAGATCTGGCTACATTGGTGCATCAAGAGAGTGAATGTCCGGACAACAGCATGGCATACGAGTTGATTCAATTGGATTTTAAACAGGCATTTGACAAGGTCGACCACAGCCTTCTACTACGGAAACTGCTGAGCATTGGCGTAGCAGGCAGGAAATGGATCGCAAATTTTTTGGCAGGCAGAAGCCAGAGAGTTGTATTCAAAGGAGCCAAGTCTGAGGACCTAGAGGTAATCTCAGGCAAACCCCAAGGCAGCGTATTGGGCCCGACCCTCTTTAAAGGGATACTACAACTAAATTTCGGCGCTTATTTTATACATTCTATACATGTTCAAAGGAGCAGTATCACATCGAACACACCATTATTTTGATAAAAAAAGCCATTTACAACTCCCTGTAACGCCGAATTAGAGCGTAGCTCTTGAGGAGGGGGGGAAGGCGCGGAGGGGGGTCACATGACCTCGGGGGCCACGTGACGTCAGAGGGAGGTCACGTGGCCTGGGGGTCACGTGACCTTGGGGTGGGGGTCACATGACCTTGCGGTTACGCCGACGCCGCTCAAGCCGGAAACGGGCGCCTAAGAGCTGCGCTCTAAAAGACACGAAAAGGAATTTTAAAACAAATTAAATGATTAGCAAAGAGCTCCTGGTGGATGTCGCCAAAGCCTTGTTTGTAATGCCCGTCAAGGAACCTTGACAGGTAGTGACAACAACTGTCTCACCTAAAACTATTCATGCTTTGAGCCTGACGTCGTCCCGACAGCTCTACGGCCAGCACAAGAAAAGGGGGGAGGGGGGGAGGAACTCCCCACTCAACAGGACACTCTTTTGTATGTCCCAGATGTTGCTATTCTCCCTCTACAAAATTACAAAAAAATTAACCTGTCACTCAAAATTCACACAAAAGCAGCTTTAGTTGCGGTGGCCCGATCACTGGCGTGCTTCGATTGTTTCGGTGGCTGGAGTGGCCAGGGCATCCTGCCTCGCCGCAGCTTTGCTTATCCCAAGACAGACTACGTCCCAATTGTGCCGGATGTGATGTGCTTCTGCTGACTGCTCTCCGAGCACTTGCCAGAGTGGGCCGTTTTCAACGAAAAATACAGCCATCAGGCTCAAAATACAAACGTGCTATTGTCATTTACGGATATTGTGGGTCATATTCAGCCTATTTCTGAACACGACGGGTATATTTCGAATTTCGTTGAAGTATCCCTTCAACATCTTCATTAATGATGCGACTCATTCTCTTAACTTGATGCCTTTTCTATATGCCGATGATCTAACACTTCATCTGTCCATCAGGGGCATGGGCCCTTACAAGCAACTATAGGAGGGCCTTTGCAAGGTCAAGAATGGTCTGTGACAGACCATACCGACTGCCCAACAAGGCCAAGTGCTCTGTGATGCTAGTCGTTACGACCCGACAGCCCCTGCCCCCTCCAGACTTGACTATCAGAGACACACCAATCACAAGGACGCAGCGAACGAAGCTCTGCTTCGTTCGCTGCAAAGATGCGGATCTAGCGTAATGTTAGATCCGCATCTTCATTTTTCCTTTACATTAGCGAAGTGCTTTCTAGGGTATGACGCACGCTGGACTTTGTGCAACGTGTATCAAGGGAGACTGGCCCGAAGGTACTGCGAAGTTTGTAAACTGCGCTCGTGCTTCCGCAGCTTGAGTACTGCTCGTCTGTATGGACTTTCAGGCAGGTCACTATGATTGCTTCTTTGGAAAGCGTACAACGGCAAGCTGCCTACGCTATCTTGCACCGCCGCCAGTCGCCACTGCTGCTCCCACGGTACAGAGATATCGACACCTCCGAACTTCTCAGAAATGTAGGGCGGAACCACCTGTCTCTTCAGAGACAGGTGGCCTCGCTTCACCTCCTAGCTTGCATGCGTAACGGCACTCCTCTCTTGGCCTATGTGAGCAAGAATCACTTTGGCGGACTACAACCACTCCTCGGACGAACAGAGCATCACAAAAGTATGCTCCTTCCTGGAGCCACCGAGCTCTGGCACTCCCTCCCAAGCGAAGTCACGCAAAAACCATTTGAAAAAAAAAAAAAAAAGAGCACATAAAAAAATTCTGTAAGTGTGCAACCCTCCACTTAAAATAACTATGACCTTAATCCAGTGTACAGTTTCAGTGTGATTTACTATTTCTTTTATCATTATGTGTCATGTGAATAGTTGTCAATTTGTCTGCATTCATATGCTCGCATGTACTGAAGGCTACATCCGTAGTCCCCTCCCAGTACAACTAAAAGATCATATAAAACAATTTTCGTCGCTCGTCGGCAATGAGGTTCAGCCTTTACATATTCCAGACACCGGGTTCTGTCCGGTGCCATTTTCAGCGTTCGTGCGAATGGCGCGTGATTTGCTGGGTTTTCGGAAGCGACGAACATGCGCCTGCTCGACTGTGGGTTTGTAAACCCTGGAACGGTGCAGACAGACCTGTAGCCTGTGCGCAGTGGCGAGGAGGCGAGAGTTGAGCACGGCACCCAGGTCGGGCGCCTGATACACGACGCCCGCGAGCACGTAGTAGTCCGCCAGCGGGGTGACCTGGGAGGGTGAGTGGCGGTGCTGCTTGCGCACCACGTACAGGATGGGCTCCTGGGCGTGCAGCAAGATGTACTCCAAGCCCGTCATCTGGCTCAGCTGGTCGGCACTCAGCCGCTGCATCTTGACTATCTCGTTGTTGCATGTGCGGTCGTAGAACGGGTTGCTCCTCTCCGAGAAGTAGTCCATCACGTTGCCGGGCTCCAGAGCCTGGATCCAGGCTGTGTCGTGCCACGAGATGCCCAAGGGGCATTCCTCCGACGCCGGACGAGCCATGGTTCGAAAACGAACACCACTCGCCACGGCTCTCGCACGCGAAACAAGCGTCCACCAGCGAAAGCCGGGAAAGCTGGGAAAGCCGTAAAACAAGAAACCAGTGTTGTAAAGTCGTAGGCCGGAATCCGTCTAAAGTGTCTAAAGAGCCGCAAAACAATATTTTTAGCCATATATTTTTCGCATTATCGAACGTTCTTTGTATTACGTATTACGCGAATTTATTATCCATGGAGTTTTATTGTGTTCTCCTGACAATCTGTTTACAAACGTTTGCCTTCGATTTAGTGTTTCGGTTTCGGTCTTGTTTGAAAAGTGCTGTCTCTTTCGATGCGGACTGAGGCTCGCGTTGTTCCGCATTTGCCAGCTTTTTGTTGACAAAAAGTACTCGATTCGATTTTTTTTATTTGAGTACGCGGATAGCCACGTAAACCCGTAAACGTCCTTCTGGTGCCGGATTTTTATCCGCATCACAGGTACGTACGTTCGGAAATTATCGACGATCTTCGACGTTTCGTTGGTTTCGTCAGTTTCGTTCCGGTCAGACTCAGTGACCCCACGAGAGCATGCTACTCTGATACACGCGAATGTAAGACGAAAGTTGCTCACGACTGAACAAAACATGAATCGCCGAGAGCTTCCCACAACTTTTCTTGGCAATGCAGTGGAAGGTACAGGCCCGCGTCCCCACTCCCATTTTGAGTGTGCGCGGGCTCTCCTCCTCTCCCCGGAAATGGGGGAGGAGGAGAGCCTGCGCGTACACTCAAAATGGGAGATGGGACGCGAGCCTGTACCACCTGTACCTTCCCCTGCATTGCCAAGAAAAGTTGTCGCGGAGTATAACTAATTCGAGCAAACGTATGATCGCATAAAACTATCACGGCAGGCGGTTCGTGCGCATGATGGGCGCATGCGCTGCGGGATCAAAAGCGCCTTGCCAGCCTTGCCGTGGGGCGCGAGCGCCGCAAGACGGTAGCATCATGTGACGTTCGAGTTTGCACGTGCCACGTTCGAATGCAAGCATCTGTCAGCACCTGTAGATGCGCGGGCACGTACGTTTCACTTTACGTGATAGTGAAGCCAGTTACTTGCAAAAGCACGTTCTACCGAAAGATGCTCGCGCTGCACGCTCTGCTAGGGACACTGAAAGCTCGGAGCTCGCTCTTGTAGTCTCTGCTACGCTGGCACTTTTAATAGAACGGAATCTAAAAAAAGCTTGAGGTACACCTAAGCATTTCTTATGAGTTGTGAATGCGAAAGCATGCAAGCTGCTCATCCCCTTTCTTTGTTGTCTGCTGCGTACTAGCGCGCGCGCGCTTCGGTATCTCGGAGGCCATGGCGCAGCAGCCAATGGGAGCCCCGTAGACGCGCGCCAGCCAATGGAACCGAAGGCGAATCGCTCCTATTGTGATCGCGGAAACCAGGAGCCGTTTCCGCGCTTCCAACTGATGACGTCAGCTCGCTTCATGAGACCCAGTTAATGCTTTCACATTAAAAAACTGGGGGGAAGCCTGATGACTCAAACGCGAGCCACAAATATTCTAGTTTGCTTGCCTGGAACATTGCTCAAAAAGAACTACGGAGTCAACCCATCAACCGACTCTCAAAGGTTCAATCGTTTCGAACACAAATGCTGACCTCTGTGACGGCTGCAGTCACTAACGGTAATCTAGCAACGCTGGCACAGAGCCGTATCGGCACCATACGTGGTTATCTGAAATTGTGTCAATTACCTTGGGTGCGATGATTGGCAGATCTTGTGACCAACCACTAGCCACAAATATTCCCCTAGTGGAGGCAATGAGCTTAACAAATACCATCCAATCACAATTTCTAGTTAAGGATGTATTCAAGTATTTGACTTCAGCAGGCTAAAGTTCAAATTTGCAACTCTTCGTAACTGAAAGGGCAACGCGTGTGATGTTGTCGTCACGGCGACATCGATTCGGAACACCAATAAATTTTTTTTTTATCTCGCACTCGCGACAGCAGCCACTTCCGCGTCCACGACGCAGTGGACGGTAAGAAGTGTGGATTCAGCTCCGTGGGAGTTTATACCCAAACGCCTTATGTTTCTGGAAAATTTTTCTCGTCAATATCACCTTTCCTCGCTCAGTAAACACACTCAGCACCTTGAAATTCCCCTTTTCCACCAATCATACATTCATGTACTTTCAGCATCATCCAGAAACAAAAAATACCTCTGCCACGCTACGCGGTGATCTCAGCTCATTCTTACTTCGCAAGTTCATCATGGGGGGAATATGCGGAACTGCCGGCAGTGTCGCTTTTGCCGCTCCACCTTGGCTCCGGCCGGGAGCTCCTCCCTTTGACCAGACCCTACGGCTCTGCATTGGCAGTCACTTACCTGCTTTCTGAGGTTGAATGTTTTTCAGTACCGGCTTCAATATAGCGGTTGCTCCTTAACTCACTAGCCCGGAGGGAAGGCTACAGACGTTCTCGGAGACTGAGATACCTTGAGGACTTACCAAGAAGGGGTTGTATTACTTCATTTATTTATATTTTTGCTATTTAATATTTACTTTATATTTGTTTACGTAATTCTGCTTTTTTCTTTGAGTTGATTCGTAGGTTCGTTCTAATAGTATTTACCTAAAAGGCATCAAAGCTGGGAATATATCTGTCGCCACCTGATATGACACTTTTTTGCTTGTTAGATCAGTCAACTGCACATACTGCACTTTTCAGACAACTCTGGGTGTGAAGGTGTTCCTCCGACTTCCATACCGATTAAGTACCAATATCCCTCGCATACCTTATTGTATGCTTTTAAAGACATTGTATACCTTTAGAAGGGGGCCGGAGGGTTGTGTACTACTGTAACATCTGGCAGTGCATTGTTGTTCTAGTCCGAGCACAGTGCACTCTAGAATTTCCATGATTGGCAACTGATATTGATTGCTTCTTGGTGTATTTCCTGTCTATCAAAGCTCCACAGTAACATGCAAGCAGCAGAAATTACCACCAGCAGTATGAAATGCCATTGAGCTTTTCAGGAGGCTGACACACATATTGATTAATATACTCCGCTTTCCGGCACAAACTGGCTACAAAGCAAACATGGGACTCCAATGAGAAAATAAGCAAAAAAGCATACCCCCCATCCCCCTTTGATCGAAAAGCTGGATTGTTAAAATAAGAGAGGTAATGTGCAGAAAGATTCTTTTATATCCAAGAGGCTACTATCACTGTGGACAAGTAGAGGTGCACCTTATTCTTCATTTATAATTACTAAGAAAATCTATTCTTAGAGAGCCCACCTTAAAGTTGGCTCACAAACCCCTCACTGCAGGTTTTATTCTTTGTATATCCTTGGTATACACTCCGATTTTACCATTTTCTCGCATATTATACTGCGCAATATGCTGTTGGAGAAACCAATAGAAAGCAAAAGCTCCAAGAAAAACATTCTCAATTTCTTGCTACCCATGTCAAAACACGGCAATGCCGCCTGTGTGTCCAGCCAGTAGTATGGATCTTCCGGTGGTAAAGCACATGTGCAAACCACCCAATCGATCGCTGACCTTTTTGACATTGAGGCAAAGCCTGGGCACTGGAGCCCCAAGAGTGAATGTGCAGATCCAGTGCCAGCTTGACAAGTGCATTTTATTGCATGTCCAACCTCGTAATTACACATGAGCTGAAAGTAAGCTGGCAAGGTTCATTTTTGCTAACTGGCCACTAAGGAGTAGCATCCACCCTGACGACACTCAAGAGGAAACAAGATCTGTCTTCCGAAGCTGTATGTGCACTCTCGCTCGAGACCCAGCCTTCGAGAGCCGCTCCTTGCCAGAATCCAGAGCCCATCCAAGAACACTTAGGGACACAATCCGTCTCCACAACAGAGGCAAGAAAAATATTGTGGTGGCTCGAGAGAAAGCATTATGTGCATAAATATTCCAGAAAAATAAAACTTCCAGGGGAGAACAACAAACATTTTTTTTTATGCATGTACGTGTGTTAGCATACGGAAGAGACGCCGAAAGGAGAAAGCACACTTCAAGAGACTGCTCGACATCGTCTATACTAGGCGTGTGCCGGGAAAAAAGTACTGCACGCACTCGTGCGACGGCTGCACCGGCGCGGCTGACGCATTCTCTTTTCTAAACGATAATCGCATCGGCCATTTTCATTTCTGGAAACTAGTCCGGCCAAGCAGGTAGTAGTCACCTGCGGCTTCGAGCTCCCACTTCTCCAAATTGCACCTGTGCACGACCGAGAAGCAGCGAGTGTTGGATTGTGCCAGACTTTTGCCCCAAAATATCCCGAAGTCGAGGGTGCAGCTCTCGCACGAGCACATGGGGTATGTACACTGCAACAATCTTCCAAAATGAGCCGCCCATCTCGTGCAGTGGCAACAAGCACGCCACGTCCTCCCAATTTTCGGTCTCTCATTGCACACCTTTGAGGCCTAGGACGGCGCACAGTCGAAACACAAAAGGGACCTAGAGAAGGCCTGTAATTTCAAATACTATTTTATTTTTTTGTTGTTGTTGTTGCGATTACACCAAATACTGTGCACAAAAACAACTTTCATCATGATAACATTACTCCACAATAGTAAACCATGAGCGTTAGCAAATGGTTGAGGGAATGTGCAGTTAAATTAGATGCTGGACCCACACTATAATAGCTTTGACATCCATTCAAATATATGGCAGTGTTGTTCTCAAGTTTCTCTCGTAAGGGAGCAGAGGTCGCTTGCCCCACAGCACGGTGTCCATGCACAAGCGTGTTCTGAAGCTCCGACTAAGCTGTTCACCCTGATAGAGTGCTTCCAGTATCTTTCCCTCAGCCCCGGATTTGGTTTCACTTAGCACGGATTGCTTCCATACAACCACTGTAGAGATAGACAACAGAGTCGAGAGGAAATTAAGATACTATGTATCCATAAATAGCGGCAACTATGGCAGCAAACCAACAACAAACAGTTATATAAAATAAAAGCTTCTTTCATCGCTCGTTGGATGTGTGTAGTCGATCTCAGAGTCTAATACTTTAGTTTCTACAAAAGAGGCAAACCGAGCAGACGGGCCGAATGGGTCTCGTTTTTAGCTTGGAACCAGCGTGTCGAGTAAATAGGGCTCCGTGCGTTTTTGTCTTTGGTAAGCAAAAAGCAGAGCGGTGCCTGCCACAGCATCTGTGGCGTCCGCCAGAGCTCACACCTTCCTTCCTCCACAATGCAAGATGGGCAAGACGGAAAGGTACACATTAAGATAAAAGAGGTACGGGCGCATCTGCAGGGTAACATTAGAGACAGCATTTAATACAGATGATGATGCATACCAAAGTTGTTTGTATAATATATATTTATGTATGCACTATGCTTATATAGCAGTCAGATTGAGCAGAGGAAAAAAAAGTCTCAACATTAAAAGAAGCTACTGTACATTTAACATTTACCAAGGACCTCCGTCATCAAAATATGCTCGCTTTCGGGAAGAAAAAGCATAATTTTGATAGACAGCTTATTCGTGCGTGATATATATATATGTATATATATATATATAAATATATATATATCTTTGACATTGTACATAATTATACATGTCTGTGAATAGCAACTATGTATTCTCATCCGGAATGCACAACACAGTATGGACAAACCCCTGGGTGTTTTCAATGAATCCTTTTTCTTCTATAGGTTTTTCCTAACTATATCTTAAAGAACTCTCACTCGTTCTTTCTTTTATTATGACAGATATTGAGCAGAAATAAAAGAAAACGAAACTGCCCAGAAATTTCCTAGAATAAAATGAGTTTTCAAAGTGGGAGGTTTCGATCAAGTCACAGGAGTTATCAAGGGTACTTACACCGCAACTTCTATCAGTGGAACACTTCTTACAACGCTTAGACTCACTGCAACAATCCTGCACACAATCCCCCAGCTTTGCACAAGCTCCTTTCCAAAACTTGCACCGTCCAAAAATCAGGGAGAACTTCTCAAAACAATTTCCTTCGAGGGGATATCGGAGTCCTCTTGCGACTCTTCAAGCGAGACCTCGAAAAAACACTGTGTAACAACAGATGCAGAGATTTTTAAAAGTTGTTAACGACAGTTCCTGACCAACACAATATTTACAGATATAAATTGTATAAAAGGAGCAAAACTAAACACCACCCATGTAAATACAGCAGACCAATTGATTTGAACAAATAGCAATGCTACAAAGGTTAAAGAAACAAAACGAAAGGTCATTTTTGGGGGGATTTTCTCAGAACAGAATCAGTAAAAGACTTATCTCTAGAAATAAGGATGTCGCAATGAGTATGCATGATTCTATCAACATTGAATCAAGGGTAAGAGCAAGATGATGAGTGAGAGACGACGCATTGATTTACCCCCCTTACTTTGTGACACTTTTACTTGGGGGGGGAGCAGTCAATCATATTGAACTCTGCAACCGCTGCATGCTGACGGCACACGTGAAGTCGTCACGTAAAATCCCTGATTAGTCTCAAACAGGGGAAAGGGGTGTGGGCATAGGAAGAGGAAACCAAAAAGGAGTCGAATCGGGAAAAATCATGACATGGTCCAATTGACGAACCATATGATTTGGGAAAGAATGAAAACCTGTTTGGATGTCATTGTGACCAATGCCCCTCAGAGCCCCCTGGCTTCTAACAGATGCTCCATAAAATCTGTTAGAACGTCAATCCAAGACCACCCTTAGACGAGAAAGGAAAGTAGTCTCTCTTTGGATCCTTTGGCCTTTCTCGGGACTAAGCGATATCAGAGGAAAGAAAGTGCCTCAAATCGGTCACTAGAGTTGCGTGCACGGTTTACGAGCAGACGACCCACGCTAGCGTCATGGCCGAGTGCCTGGTGAGCATGACGAGGCAAGAAAGACTCTTTGCGGCATGGTGGTTCAACACCACATACTCTACCAGATGCTGCCACGTCTTGTCCACCAGGCGGACATATAAGCTTATTACAACAAACATTCGGACAGGGATGATTACTATTCTTATGAAGTATGTTTTGTTCAGAGCTCTGCTACAATAAAACTTTTGATCTAATGAATTCTATCAGTAGCTTTTATAGGCCTGTTCCTCGCTCATTATAAGAGTTTCTGCCACAAGATGGATTTTCCCGCTAACTTTGAAAGCAATGCACAACTAAAAGAAAGAAGCTGACTAATGGGGTCAGACCAGAATGGCAAGTTTTCAGACCCGTAAAAGCCCTTCGGACGAATAATTTTCAGTCACGATGCGGGGAACTCGAATGTAATTGCGGTTTGTGCTCCGCATATACTGCACTTACAACGGCCCATTAAGGTACTTATCACCAAGAGCTCTTTCTTAGCAAGCCCATATGTAACATGACGTTGGTAAGCGGTGGGTCGTCTCTAAGCCGAGCAACTTTCTGGCCAGCAGCTGCCCATCGCAGCCTCCCAGATCCCATGGGGCTCTTGCGGCCAGAGGGCCACTGAGGGGCACGGCTCGCTTTGTGAGCGGGCGAGACGCCTACATGCACCTTGCAGTCCGGAGTACGAGCATCATAGCCACGACCAGCAACCCCGAGGTTGCTGTCATGGCTGCCGACGAAGTCATGTCCCTGCGCAACATCATAACCTTGCTGATCACATGGATGACTCCATTGGTGGCCTGTACGTCTGGACGCACAATCACAGCCTCTCTGCCTTCCCACAACAGGTGGATCTTGCCTGAAAGCACAAACATGGGACACTTTTTACTCTCATGCCGACGAATGTGTCTGCTATAAAAACCAGCGTTCTGTTTAGAAAGAAGTCCGCGTATGCCCCGACAGCTGTGGACAGAGCGCACAAGCAGAAACCAGGTTTGCATGAAGCAAAGAGTCTGTGCATGTGCCGTGCCGACAACAGCGCCACCACAACGGCATGACATCGGATCCGCGCGTTGGTGTCTCTTGTAATTAAGAAAAGTAGGACAAGCCCTTCCCAGGAAGCCCTCCACTCTTTTCATTTTAGCGAAGTGAATGCTGGAAAGGAGTGGGCATCATGATGAGCAGTGGGCTTTCTGGGAGGGACTTGTCCTGCTTTTCTTAACCTGCACCAGCTGCACTCTGTGCAGACTGCCGTATTCCATGTCATTGCCCTGCACATTTCTGCACCAGTGCAGGCTGGTGCAAGTAAATTGGATGAACACTAGAGGAAGGACAAATTCCAGAATCAGCAGCTATGAACTGTGCACTGTGCCACTTTCGGTGTTTGCGGTGGGAATGTGCATTCATAGCAGAAACGTACAAACTAATAATTTTGAGAATGGTGCATTAAAATTTGAAAGTGTATTAGTATCGTGCAAAGAAATATTAATTTTTGCATTTGAGTATTACATACTGAGGGATCCATAACAATGTAAGAGGAGAAAACCTTTTTAAAGGTACTTGTGCTTTTCCAGAGCAGCCATTGCTCAATGCCTGAAGCTTGTCTGAGCAGAGTGGGTTAATTAAACGAGTAGCAAACATTGACTGCCAACTTATGCCACTGTAACTTTTAACTATGTAACTTTAGCTTTTAATGCCAACTGGTCACGTCGAAAAATTTCCTTGAATTAAAACTGCATCGAAAGTTATGGGTCTGAGCTCTGCCAAACTGCATGTACTGATTGCATGAAATGTGTGAAAGTTGGTCATTTTTCTGTTGATGTTTCTAGACATAGAGCGAAATATATCCGCAGAAGGGGCTCTTGCTTACCATTTACGTTCCGAACATCCATCTTTCCCCTTGCTGTTTCTATAGTCCTGAGGTTTTCCAGCTCTGCCTGAGGAATTTCTCTTCCAACAATCAAATGACGCTCCAGAATCTATAAAAAGAAAAGCAGAGGGTTGTCTGATCACAAATAATGCACCTGGTGACATCCATTTTTATTTTGCAGTTTAATCCTATATTTTATTACTTCAATTAATCCCAGCTCCAGTTCCAGCATTTTATATTGTCAACCTTTTAATGTTTTGGTTTTTTTTTTCCTTTAGTAATTATGGAAGCATGCATTCTATGCATCCTACTAATTGCTGCGATAGTAAATGTACTGAAGTTTCAGTTTTCTTCAGCTCAATTTGTTCCCACAAAATACTGTATGCATGCTCGTGCTCATTCTTGTTGCCTTAAGTATGTCATTACTTGAGTAGGTGCTTTTTAAGTATGTTATAAAAGTATCTCTCACATAATAAACATGGTATTACAGGGACACAATTGATTAGCCACATTACTTGGATGCCTATTTGTCTCCAAAGCCTTCTAAAATACTGATTTCAGAGTTTCCAGTGAAAAATGCTGCATAGGAGGAACTTGTATAGCTGGCATCTTGTAATGAGGTTTCAGAGGATAGGAAAATGTGTAGTAGTTTCCAAGTTCTGTCACGTATAGGGCAACCAAATAGGATATGTCAATGCCACTGTCAGTGTTGTGTTGCATAAATAAGTGTAAAAAGATGGAAAATTAAGAACATGCCTTATGCTTTCGTCTCAAGAAGATAAAAGCACACATTGGCATTTCAACATGCAAACACAGCAGCTGGGTGATGCTTCGAGGAACATTAAAAAAAACTAAAATTGAAAAAAAAAAATTGTTTTGGTTGAGTAGCACACTTTTTAAACAACTTTTTTTTTCACCAAACACAGCACACAATGGCTAGCGGAGCCGAAATTAAACTTTCCCCAAAATTAAACCATTGAAGCCAAAATTAAAACTTTTCTTTTCAGATGAGAGAAGATGTGATGTTTCAGTTGTGCTTCGTACAGATGACCATCACTGATGGTGGTACAATTGGTTCAGTCACAAACTGTTTTTGTCAGGCAAGAAGTTATCTATTTCGGGCAAGTTAAAAAATGCTACATCCATAAATACATACTTCAAAATTTTTTCCGGTGCCCCGTTAAAGGGAAGTTACGGAGCTCCTCGAAAAAAATGAGTTGGAAGTGAATTCTAGTGTATTTTTACCCCGTGAACCCGAATACCCAAACCATTTGCTGCGCAAGTATTGTTGAACGCGAGAAAACGCGAAAGACAGTTGCTGTGTGTGACGTCATCGACGGATATTTTGGCTGCCCAAGGCTAGGGAGGCGGGGCTTCAGCCCTATTCTGAAATTGCTCTTATGTCTTTCCAGCGCGTCGCACTGAAATATAATTATGATATCTGTTATTCTGAAGGTCAAATGAACACAATTCAAGCTTTTTTTCTCAAATGTAGAAGTGCACCATCTTCCCTTTAAGGTGTCGGAAAAGAGGGTCGGTGCTTTAGGCGGTGCGAGTTCTCACCTTCTCGGCATGATAGCCAAACTGGTCCATGGACAGCTGCTTGTACTCCGAGGGGAATTCCAGCTTGATATCATGCCAGGCGTTGTCGTTGGGTGCAAACAAGGTGTAGCGCTGGTTTGTGTTCTTCAGCCGCTCGATCCAGTTCTTGTGCTGGGCAAACCGCCGGGTGTCCCTGAAACAGGCGGCAACAACGGTCAGCTGCTGCTGGTGATGCTTCGAGAGCATGCCCGGGGGGGCCAGAATTGTGGGGTCGTTGACACCAACGGGTGAAGAACCAAATGGTCTTGGGTACTGCTGAAGCACAAATTGTCTCCTCTCGTTTAAAAGAAATACATAAAAAATTTCCCATTGACGAAGTGGGTCCCAATGCCAATTTGGGATGTGGTGCCCATTGTGGTTCGTCACCACAGTATGAAAACAGTGCCAGCTCTTTGCCCAGTCACCCCAAGACTCTGAAGTACAATTCAACTTACTTGAGTTCGGGGTCACTGTTGATCTTCTCATAAATGGCGTGCGAGGGCATCCCCAGAACACGGTCGATGATGTGGATTACTCCATTGGTGGCTCCAATGTCTGCCTGCACTGCAGTGGCATTCACCCCGCCCCCTTCCACGGTCAGCGCTGGAAGGTAATAATATTATAATTGTTTATTTTCCATATGTGCAAATGCTGGGGAAAAAGGAAAAAAAAAAAAAAAAAAAACCTTGTTTTCGAAGTAATTTGGTAGGTCCTTATGCAAATTCATGCATACTTCAGTTTTTGGCACCTACTTGCAACCACATTTGCCTCGAGTCATATTTTGACACTTATTTCGAAGCATTAGGATACTACTATAGGAGACCTATCTTTCTATTGGAGACACTAGTTGCTCTTAATGGAGAAGTCATTAACAATACCAAACACGGAGCTTAGTCTAGGGGTCCAAATGCAAAAGTCAATTGTAAACAACTTTAAAGCTTGCTTTTGAAAGAAAGACTTCAGTTATTGCAGTCTCTAATAAATACTGGTGTTGTGTTAATATTAAAATTTTCGAATAATATGCTATTCAACATGAACTGCAATATTCATATTTCTTTTTTTTTTAAGTGTTGATAGCGGCAGGTTAGCCTCATTGAGCACGCTTCTTACCGAGCACCGGTGCACTGCGGGGCAGCAATACCCGCAGAGCTCGCTTCTCCGGGTGTGGCTTTCTTGCAGCACACCGGTGCTTGGTGAGAAGCGCACTCAATGGGGCTAATCAACCGCTATCAATACTTTGAAAAGTACAAATATCGCAGCCACGTGCTTAGGCGGAAAGCTCATTTTCAAAGCAACATAGCGCACGGGAGCGCCTGGTGTATTTAAAAAGAAACAGAAACTTTCTGGACGGTGATACCTACATTACAGTAACATTTTCAAAATTAAACTGGCATGCATGAGTATGTCAAGCAGAGATGCCCTGACAACCTGAGTTAATCATACGTGATTAAAGAAAATATATTTGCTTATAGCAAAAATATTTATGAATCCCCTTGAATAAGTATTTCTGGGCATCTTTATAGGCTTAAATACACGTCAAATGTGTTGTTTACTTGCCATCCCAATCTAGGCTTTGACTTTTGGAGGCCACAGTTAATAATTGCCCTCAGTTAATAATTGTAGTTAGATTAAAACTAAGCTTAGAAATGGAAAAGTGGAAGCATGCCAACAACCTTTACAAATTCAGCTGGGTTTGTCGTAGTTAAAGGTTTTAAGAAACTATGCAATATTTGATTCAAAAATATTTGACCAAAACCACTATTTGCTTCAAATACGTTTTGAACTCAAAATTCACTATTTGCACATGCCTAATACATTAAACATGCATTACTAATTCAAAATTTTTTTCAACTAATAGTTTAAATAGAACCTAGGGACCAGGCATAATTTAAGTTCCACTCATCAGAATTCCACTGAAAGCTACTGTAATCTGTCAGAGTAAACAAGAATAAAACTGTTGCACGAAACCAAGTAAAACCCCATTCGATCTAGAAAGCCTATTTTAGTAAACAATTTAAAACAGCAAACTTTTTAATGTCAATTGCTGAATGAAGATCTTTTTCAGGTCCCCTGAAGATGAATGACTCAAGTGGTTTTACTCTTTTTGTTTCTTGTGTAGTAGACCTCAAAGAATGAGCACAAAGGAAGCCATGAAGTGGTCAACTCACTGCGTCCATGCTCGTGTTCCACGACCCGCATGTACAGCATACGCCGACTGCTTGCGGATTCACGCTCAAAGTTCCCGGTCCTCCTACCGTCCAATACTTGGTCCGAGGAGATGGCCTCGTTCTTGATCATGTGCAGTCTGAGCAACTGCATAGAAGATCCCAAATTATGAGTACGCTCAATAACTACAGGCTCCCTTTCGAGAGTCCATCGATGCCTCAACGTCCTACACAGACTAATTCCTGGCATGTTTGAGTCAAAAACATCCAGAGGAATATCGACTTTTTTTTTTCTTCTGCTCGATTTTCTTTTTTTAGCTAAAACATTAAAAATTAAGTTTGCGACTTCCACTATTCCACTACTGTCAACTGCCTACTTGACACACTGGGAAATAATTGCCGTGAAATATAGTTTTGACGTTAGAAAGCACGATGCCATTAATGCAATCGCCGGATTTTTGCTATTTTATGTCGACAGTGTGTCTGTCATAATTTTTCCGCAGTCAATTTCAGGAGGATTCAAGAGACTTAAGTCATATTTTTGCTTGAAATAAATTTAAAAAATTGTAGGTCGATTGCCAGTAAAGATTGCCTGCACAACTGAAATTCGCTGTATCATTCGTAAGGCGATTTTGGCTGGTATTTTTGGCTGAAATTATGTATGCGGCTCTTTTTGCGATTGTCTGTGTACTGTGCTGTGGTATGTTATTCATCATCATTCGTCACTTTTTAAACCTTGAAGGCCCTTACGGCATTGCACAAGGTGGGGGTACCTGCTGAAAAAACATTATTTATTTACAATTTTATTTATTTATTTTCAGTGCCTACCAATGGCCAGAAGGAACAAACAAAAAGTGGGTTACATGCTGGAGAACATTCTTATATAAAGCAACAAAAACAGGAAAAAAATAAACACTAAAAAAACAGCTGATCAAACAGAAAAGTACACAAATAAAACATTTCTATAAACCCGAATTGACTTTGCTATTAGTGCAAATGCAGATGGATGGTCAGTTGGGATATGAATGTGTTATGATCTGCCTGGGTCACGATGCTGTCAGGCAGGCTATTCCAGTCTGTTATTGTTAATGGCAAGGTATTTATGTCTTCAAGAACGTTTTAAGCAAGCTTTTGGACACCGTCATATTTTTTATGCATTCAGGGGAAAATCTGGCTTAATCCTGTTTTTAATAACACTTGTTAAAACTGTTAATTTTTTTTTTCTGCAAGTGGCACTGATGAGTCACTTGTGAAGTGTGGCTGTACTCCTTAAAATTTTCACTTGTTGCTGACATGCATCTTGCTTTACTGTTCGGAATATTATGCACATTAAAGTTATACTGCAGTACATAACAGGAATGTGGTTTGGTTTTATCCCTACTGTCGACGGCTGTTTTGTGAAAACGAATGATGCTGGAAAATAAAAATGTCATCTTTTCTGTGGTACTGCAGATTGTTTCTGGATTAAAACCCTCGCATAAATGATAGTATATTGGGCCGAAAGTGCCGTCTCCTTACCTTAGTGAGACCACTAGTATTGGCTTTAAGACTATCAAGCACTTCTGACGGAATCACTTTCAAGGCTTCGTTAGTGGGGGCGAAAATGGTCTTGGGCTGAGTTCCTTCCAGATCCATTTGGAACTCTGGGGAGTAGTCAAACAGGCGCATGAAGTCCCTGAAAGAGAAGGAAGAGCAATCTTTACTCAGAAATACACAATTTCAAGTTTAGGATTTCTATCTGTTATATCCAAATGTCTGGAGGAATCTGCCTGGGCCTAAATTCATTTGGCCCCCCTTGGTCCACAATTTTTGTTTTCTTAAAAACGTGCGACAACGTATATTTAGTTCAGGAGATATTGTAGCCAATTAGAGCATGCAGAGGGGCAACACAAACACGAGGCTTCATGTTTGTGTTAGCAATATTCGTCTCCATGCTCCAAGGTAACGTCTGTTTTCAGCCAGCTCAATTGCATATATGCTTTGACTTCATATTTAGAATGGTCAGTGCAACGTGCGGCCACAAGCTTATATTTGTTGTGACTTCCGTGTTGTCACGAGAAAGACCTACACTTATAATAAGACTTGTCCCATGTTGCTAATACATGTAACTTTTCTGGGAATTCACTTTTGGTTTTGACCTCAACTTTGTTTCTATTATAGCAAATACTAGAAGCCAGATTTTGATGAAGCAATAGATTCACCTTCTTTCTCATAGATATAATAATAAATATCACTAAACAGAATTAAAATCAGATGACTAGACTTTACGATGACTCCCGCACTAGAGGCATGTACTACTAGAAAAGCGGCATCTCTCGACTTCTGAGCAGGCACAAAATAAGCTGCTTGCTAATTTGGTATCACAAGTCACCCTTTAAAAAAACACTGACACCCCCGAAAAAAAAAAAGTTTTTGGCTATTTATTATGGTGTCAGAAGACCCCAATCAATATTTTGCTACAGCAATATATATATTTTTAATAAAGTAAAACAAAAACGCAACTGCTCGCAACCGAAACTGGACTGGAGAGGAAGAAGAAATATGGAGGAGGAGAGAGTTGCCAGATATCATGTGGCTGCGGAACCTTTTTTTTTTTTCTTTTTTCAATCAACACATTTGCAGTTATTTAAAAGCCACAAAAAATGGGTATCATTTTTTTCTTCTATTTTTAATATTTAATGTGTGCCTTATTGATTATATTTGGTGGTTGTGTCTAAACCATAGAGAATGGCACGCGACCACGGAGAAGAGAGTGAGCGCGACTCAAACTGGCCATTTCTCGATCGACAGTTTTGGGCGGAAACAAAACGAATTTCGAGCCGCAAATTGTGTTTTGTGTAGTTGGGCTTTCATATGTCACATACAAATAAAAACCTGGGCGAGCATAAATGCCCTGTCAGTGTCCCTTAAGACGTGCTCTTCTATTAGATCATAAAAGTTCAGGAAAAGAAGTAGATGGCAGACAATATATAGCTGTCTGGCAGTTATGTCAAGTATAAATGCCACACCATAACGATAAAGTCGCTAGATTTTTTATATATACAAAACGAATGTCGCAATATTTCAGACTATGAAAACCAACTTAATTTTGTCTCCCCTGTTCATGTGTGGGAGTTTTATTTAGGGACAAAAGCGGGGTTGGTGACGTCTACATACTCGAGGCGTCCATGCCTCTCCCGCTGCAGGAAGTCGTGGATGGAGGTGTCCACGACCATCAGGGGCTTCTCGATCAGATGCACCACCCCATTCTTCACGGGGATGTTGGGCTTGATGATCTTGGAGAGGACCACCCCCTTCTGCCGCTGCCGCTCCGTCGACATGGTGTTGCTCTGCGCAAACACTGGGGCCACAGAGCAAACCCGGCTGTAGCCTTCGATTCATGGCCTGCCCACACCGTCGAGCCTTCCACGATTTCTCTCCGGAAAAAATAGAGCTGCTAACGACTATAGCTAAGCATCGTGTTTCTCTAAAACGAATCTACTAGTTGTTTTGGGAGTAAAAATACTACTTTAAGCAAAGAAACAGGTTAAAAAAAAGACGAAAACAGATATTTTGTTTTAATTGTTCTCGATGGCATTTAGTTAGTACAGTGAAGTGAAAACTTCGTGCAAATTGGGCTGCAGCTAGGGAAACATATTTCCTTCTCCGACACATAGAGCGTGCATTTGGGTCGTACAACTTGGGAAGGTGTTCATCGTGGCACAGTACTAGATCAGTGCTTAAGGGGTGTTCCATTTACAGAGATGACAGACTCTAAGAGTTTTATATCACTTGTAGGCATTACTGCACTGCCTATGTGGTCCACGAGCAATTAAGTTCCCCATAAAATCAAATTTCTTAATGCGAAAGCATTAACTGCCCCATGGAGCAAACTGGCGTTAGCAGCTTTAGAAGATGCACAAAACCGCACCTAAATTGGCAGACCCTATATTCCCCTGTCTCATGGAGTTAAGCCCATTAAACGAATTCAGGCCTAAGTTTCCATTGGCTGCGACACGTCATATCAGATGCTTCGTCACGGAAGCCGCCGGGGCCGCTCAAGGTCAAAGCAGACACGCCTCAGAAAAAAAAACACACACACACGCACAAAGAAAAGCAAGCAACGTAGACGCATGGCCACGGAAGCCGTGGAGCCAAGGGGGTTGCCGCGTCTCGATTTTATTTTTTTCAAATTTCTCTAAAAAGTGATCTGGTGGTCCACCTTCATTGAGGTACGGCTTACATAAATTCACCCACAAGGTCAAAGTGGTAAAAACAAATTCTCCCCGTATGTTCAACTAGACTGGTTCACTTGCTGTGCTACATACTCTTTCAGTCCCAATTACTCCCATGCTGAACATGCCTCAAGTACTTTTTTCAATGTGAACTGATCGAGGAATATGGTCCCTGCCGAGCATGTCGGGTTTATGTCAAAACACATCCCCATCAGGTGGAGGTTATTCCAGCACAAAACTGAAGTCTTAAGCACTCAAGTGGATTCTGAGGTCGTCTATTTATGGCGATAACTCAATCTAGGGGCTTTAGCATCCTAAAAAACCTGAAATTACACTCAATGGGTGGCCGATTTTCCTACTGAAAATCTTATAAAATATTGTGACATGCCCCTCTTTCTGCTCCTTGGAGCAGACACCGGGGAGTGCTGTCAGACAGCGTTTTCAAACAATAATTCCTGTATTACATCTTATACACCCAGAGGTTTGATGTCTTTGTCAAAATAGAATGCACAACCTGCCTAGAAAGAGCAATAATGGTAACGTTTGGAATTTCCACACAATGAACTATTTTCATTGGTCAAATGTTATGGAGGTGGTGGGAACCCAAGGATAATCCCCGCAAGAGAAAATAGTGCCCGTGTATTTCTATTGCTGCAAGTCACTAGGACATCTTGCCATCTAGAGCTGGTCTTTTTTTTTGGCCCAACAAACAATATTTTATTAAAAACAAGCTTCCCTAAAAAGCACTTGAGTGCGCCTTTAACCACAATGGGCACATCTGGTACCAAAGTAAAAAGAGGTTCTCGTAATAAATGTCGACGTTAACTCTCAACATGCGGCCTGCACTCACGTGTGTATTCAGAGCCGGCCGAATCCGACTGGTTGGCCAAGGAGAGTTCCACCCGGATGTTATCCTCCCAGGCTGCAGACTGATACGTCTCGTTGCTCATGGTCCTCATGAACAGGCGCCGATCCTTGATCACGTGACCACGCACCACCTGCAGGGAAAACCGCAGTTGTCTCTGTACTCTGCAGGAATACTTAATGCGCCTAATGGGGTTTAAGATTAACAATTGGTCATTCCCTCTCATAAGAACCTCGTGCTGATACTTAACCTCGAGACAAGGGAACAAACAAACGTTTGTTTCCTTGTCTCGGGGTTTATAAGTATAAGTATGATCGTGCACCAGCTAGCCTGTGCCATTACCCTTATTCCTAAAGAATCTCGTCTCCAATTAGAGTGGCCCGTTTTAGTACTATAGCATTATCTGCTTAGAGAAGATCTCTCCAATTTCATACAGCAGGTGCTGGGATGCGGATGTTTGAAAAAAATTGCCCAATAAGAGTAAGAAAGAAAAAGGGGACAGGCCACTCAGACATCCCAACCGTCCATAGGACTAAAGATCGTGCCTTAAATATTTTACGAATTTCCACCATGTGGAATGGACTGATCAATAACGGTTTTACAATGTTTTTTATGAAAATTTGGGTGTATTCGCTCTGCAAGCACCAGAACCCCTAACTTCACATTAACTCATACCCTGTCTATTAAAAAGCAGAATAGTTTCAATGTCACTGACATGGGTGATACAATATTCTTTTTAAAAAAGTACAGATTCTAGGTATGTGCCGATTACAACCTTGTAGGCATGCACAAATATTGAATTTTGAATTTGAAGCAAATTCGAAAAGAATAGTGGTTTTGGCTAAATATTTTATAATTTAATAGTTTCTCTAAGCCTTTCACTACTGTTAGACCATGCTTAAATGAAAACTCAGCTGAACTCGTGAAGTTTGTTCCCAAGTTTCCACTTGTCCACTTGTAAGTAAATTTTACTCCAATTATATTTATGGACTGTGACCTCATAAGGTCCACTCTAATGCATACATTGGGATGGCAAGTAAATAACAGATTTAACATAAAATGATACCTATAGAGCTGCCCACCTATACCTAATCAAAAGGATTTATAAATCTTGCTATATGCAAATATCCTTTCTTGAGTCTCGTAAATTATTTTAAATAAATTAAAATCACGAGCAATGAACGCAGGTTGCCAGGACATCTCTGCCTAACATATACTCTCGTAGAGTAGCCACGGTTTAATTTTGAAAATCGTAGTGTAATGTTGATACCAACATTCAGAAAGTTTGTTTCTTTTTAAATGCACCAGGTGCACGCATCACCATCCTGTTTCGAAAAAGCGCTTTTCTCCTAAGCACGTGACTGCAATATTCCTACAGCAAGGTTGTAAGTTGGTAAAAACAAAAACAGAAGTGGAAAGACGAGGTCCGAGGACAAAGTAAAAGGTAACCGGTATGACACAGCACTGCGTCCTGTCGGTCACCTTTTACTCAGTCCTCGTCTTTGCGCTGTTTTGTTTTTATTATGTCCGTGTTCCAACCAGTCCAAACTTGAACGTTAATCGACTACCATAAAATATCGCAGAAGTGCCCACTTCATTCAAGTGCCCACTACTAACATTTCCAAGACTTGGTAAATCTGCAAATTATATGTTAAGCACCCGATTTGACCGGACAAGTGCCGGTGTCTAGGTTAACCCAGTTTTCAGTGAAAGTGGGGTGGGCAATGCCCCGGTATTTTATGGTACATTGCAAGCTGGGCTAACTGGTATTCGTAGATCACGATAAAAAAAAAAAAAGTAGGTATCTTTTGATCATAAAAATTAATTAATAAAGCAGCCCTTTTTTTTACTTCTGTTAATTTTGCTTTTCGGTTCCTCTTTTCTTTCTTTAATATAATTCAGTTATGAGTCGGCACGCGTGTGTCTGGTGTTCGTTCCTTGTGTCCCGTCCTTTTGAGCACTGTTTTTCATCGTGATCATCATATTTTCCGAAGTGGTGTTCGCGGCAGATTAGCCCCGTTAAGCGCGCTTCTTACCAATCGCCGGTGCACTGCGAAGAAGCAACACCCGCGGAATTCGCTTCCGCGGGGGTTGCTTCTCCGCAGTGCACCGCTGCTCCCGTGAACACCACTTCGAAAAATACGAACATCGAGTTGACTTCGAAGCAAGCACCTATTATTCGAAACTAGTATTCGATTCGCGCAATTCTACAACCTAGCATATAAGCCGACGGGTGCGCCTCTGGAGGTTGCGCAATGCACTTACGTATTTGTCTATTTCCACGCGGGCCCGAGTTGCGGCGTCCTGGCTGTCGATTGGCACAAAGAAAGTGTGGGCTCCCTCGTCTGAAAACAGGCTCCCTTCCTGGGTCATCTGGATGCGAGAGTGAAAAAACCTGGGAAGAAAAGAGCACAGGGACATTTGTTTGGCACAGAGAGCTGGCCTCACTGGCTGATGGTTTTAAGAAACTGATTTCAAGATCAAATCATAATAGGCACCCGAGACTCGGAAAGCTAAGTAAATAGCGCACAAGAACACAAGTCTCAACTGAGACTTCAATTCATCCATTAAGACTTATACGGCATTCGGTCAAGTGTGTGGCAATTGGGAAACAATCTGCGTGCTGATGCCAGGGGCGTGCTCACTATGCGTTTGTGTATAAAAACAAGAATTTATGTTTTCTTTAATTGAAAATGATTAATAAAGTTTAACTTGCCACTTTTGAAGATAATTTTGGTAATCGTCTACATTACGAAATTTCATGATATCGAGCCTCTCACTCATAACTTGACGAGTAGCCCTTGACTGAGACCACAGACGACTTGGGTAACTAGCAGAAATCCTGCAGCCTTACCAATACATGTCTAAGGGACACATGTTGCTATTGTAGGTTACTACGCAATTCTTGGATTGCGCAGCCCGTAAGAAAGAAGTCGCTTTCAGTTCTAAAACGCAAGCATCTTTGACAGAAGTCCATCAGGTTGGGTTAAAATAATTATAAAATAAAGTAAGCACCAACCGATCCCTAAATGTGAAGGGGACCAATGTTTCCTCTTGTTCTGGAAGTGGTTATGACCGTTGAACGGCAGCAGTTGAACGGTCATAACCACTCTTACAAGAAAGGGGAACTGCTCCTCAACGGTCGCCAAAAGAGAAACATCCGAGTTGGTTTCGAGACGTTGGGTCCCCTTCTTATTTAGGAATTAATCGTTTTTTTTTTGTTTTTTTTTTTTTTTTTTTACTTATAGTTTTGCAATGAGTTTTGCAATGCGTGGTTTGCTTACACGAGCCGGTGATTGAGGTTGTAGATGGATGGCTGATTCAGAAATTCTAGAGCGCTTGGTGTGACGCCACTGGTCGGGATGAAGGCTTCCAGGACGTCGTCGATCACATAAAGCTTCTGCTTCAGGCCATTGTGAGACAGGTCCCGCCGACGGATCACTTTGGCGTTGTTCACGAAGAAGAACTGCCAAATGGCAGGGGTTGAAATTCACATCAGGTGTCTTGCAGAACAGTGAACACCAACAAACATAGAACAAATCACAGTCTCATTGGTGAATTTGTTATATGTACCATAGGACTTGATTTCGCTTTACTATCCTAAAGCTTCAAACAGAACAATGGAGTTATTTCAGAACAACACTGTACACCTCACATATCATCTAAACATATCATTTCACCAAACCAAAAAAGTGGATTAAATCGCACGAGCACTTCAGCTAATGCACATCTGCCACCACAGAAGAAAAACAGTTAATGGATGCGGCAAACATTTAGTTATGCGCAAATAATTTACGTAGCAATGAAAGAAGAAATGGCCAATGGTATACAGTGGCAGTATTTCGGCAATTAACTTGAGTTCTTGAAATAATATTCACGACTTCCGACGAAATTGGGTGCACATGTGTTTTTCCCTCCAATGAGATTAGTGGCTGTAGATGTTGAGTAGGGCTCGAGCAGGAAGCCCGCAGATCGCAGCAACAAGATTAGGGGCCATCACTTTGTGGTTTCGTATAATGCGATTAAGGCTTCCTGTTGGCTTCACAATTGCGCCGTAGAGGCTGTTTGTTTGTTTGTACGTCCATTTAATTGAATACGGACCAATGTATGTTTCTCAACCTTGTAGAGCAAAATTTGAGTTTTGCTCTCCAGGGAGCAGAATTTTCATTCTGTGCATCACAGTGAGCGGAATGAGGAGCTGATGTTGCTTATTCTTATATTTTTTTACGGAACAGGCAAGTATGATTTTTATGAGCGCATTAAAAACAGCTGGTGAATGATTACAAGATAATAAAAATTCTCCGTGCTGCTGCCACTGAAAAAGAATTCAATGAAGAAAGATAGGGAACAGTTTACCGTGACCTTTAATATGCCTTCGAGATAGTGCTCCGACTGCCCCACCCTAGTCCCGAAATGACGCTACAAGGCTGCCTGCCATCTTGGTAATGATCATGCATGGTACAGAGCAGTGACACCGCCTCATCGCAATGCGCTGTCAACGTGCAGTATTCTGAAGTGATTGGCGATCTGGGGGCTGCTTCGTCGGCCAGTAGTGCCGAGCCACCCATATTTGTGAAGAGGCCCGCTAGTGAGTTTGGATCACTGTGAAAGCCGAATGGGTCATGGAAAAGGAAACCTTTTAAAGTGCCACAACAAAGTTCCAACAAGCAATGGCACTTAACTGTTTTTTTTTTCTTTAAATGAGGCAAAGTTATGGGAAGCTACCGACAGCTTGTCCTACTCTGAGGTGAATGTTTAAAGAATGCTGTTGTATTTGATCGTTCGACTGCAAAAATTTTAAAATAAAGACTGTCAGCGTGGCTTTCAGAGAAGCATCTGGAAACTGCTTCTAATACCAATGAAAGTGTCTGACAAAAATCAGTACCTTTGAACGTTTTACTGCTAGAAATTCAGTACTTTGCACAGTATTTTCAACCCACATTTTGGGCTTACGAAGTTTAACTTAGACTTAATTTTTCGGAAAAGTCATCAACCTCTATCCTAAAACGTATTTCAGTTGTAAAGCATTTCAATAAATCTCTCAAATTATTTATACTGGCTTAACTCGACACTAGCTGACCTTTGTAGATATGTTTTGAGATATTTTTTTTTAATATACATTGACATATAAGGTTTGCTTCAAACCTGAACAATTCTGCATGCACACATCTGGTGGAGGTATTGTCATTCTAATTACTCCTGTTTTGGCGTCAAGAGAGACCATTATTAAGAAGTGCACTAAAGCACACATAAAACCTGAAAACGTTTGGCCCCTTCAATTTTTTCTTTCCATGTTTCGTGACATTTGTTTTTGGCAGTGGGCATCCGGTTCAAATAGCTTCGGCGCACATAACTATGCCCCGGGCGACATAATGACATTCAATCCATCATCGTCAAGAAGTGAGTTAGTGATGTGGCCAAGTGTGATTTGAACCGTCCAGGTTGTCGTAGGGTGCCTACATGTTTCCACCGCTCCGCTGAGCGGAAACATGTAGGCACCCTAGGTTGTCGTGGTTGTGTCCTAAGCAGAAGGGTTGTGGACTCACCCTGTCATTTGTCCTTGTCAGGAACAAATGAGGAGATCCCTTTGCGATGGTTGGGACTGAGGACGGTAAGTGATCTTCGGCCACGTTCAGGGACACTGCAAGGAGAAAGAAACGCCGTCACCTCAGTTGTAACCCTTGTGTCAGCAATAGCAGCATTCGCAGTAACCACAAAATGTGCACTTCAATAATAAGGAGTTTTAGTAGACCGTGTTTCCCGCTCCGCTAACCCTCCACTATACGAAGAAACCGCCACTGCGCCTGAGTGCCGATGGCCTTGGCTGTAGAGTTCCGGGTAGCGGAGGGGCTTAGCGAAGGGGGAAACACGGTCTACTTAAACTCGCTAATAGGGTGTTTTCGTAGACCGCGTTGTTCCCTCCGCTAAGCCCTCCGCAACGAAGAACCCGCTACTGCGCCTGCGCGCCGATCGATGGCCTTGGCTGTAGAGTTCCGGGTAGCGGAGGGGCTTAGCGGAGGGGAAACACGGTCTACTAAAACTCGCTAATAGGGTGTTTTCGTAGACCGCGTTGTTCCCTCCGCTAAGCCCTCCGCAACGAAGAACCCGCTACTGCGCCTGCGCGCCGATCGATGGCCTTGGCTGTAGAGTTCCCGGTAGCGGAGGGGCTTAGCGGAGGGGAAGCACGGTCTACTAAAACTCGCTAATAGGGTGTTTTCGTAGACCGCGTTGTTCCCTCCGCTAAGCCCTCCGCAACGAAGAACCCGCTACTGCGCCTGCGCGCCGATCGATGGCCTTGGCTGTAGAGTTGCGGGTAGCGGAGGGGCTTAGCGGAGGGGAAGCACGGTCTACTAAAACTCGCTAATAGGGTGTTTTCGTAGACCGCATTGTTCCCTCCGCTAAGCCCTCCGCAACGAAGAACCCGCTACTGCGCCTGCGCGCTGATCGATGGCCTTGGCTGTAGAGTTGCGGGTAGCGGAGGGGCTTAGCGAAGGGGGAAACACGGTCTACTAAAACTCGCTAATAGGGTGTTTTCGTAGACCGCGTTGTTCCCTCCGCTAAGCCCTCCGCAACGAAGAACCCGCTACTGCGCCTGCGCGCCGATCGATGGCCTTGGCTGTAAAGTTCCGGGTAGCGGAGGGGCTTAGCGGAGAAGAAACACGGTCTACTAAAATTTGCTAATAGGGTGTTTTCGTAGACCGCGTTGTTCCCTCCGCTAAGCCCTCCGCAACGAAGAACCCGCTACTGCGCCTGCGCGCCGATCGATGGCCTTGGCTGTAGAGTTGCGGGTAGCGGAGGGGCTTAGCGGAGGGGGAAGCACGGTCTACTAAAACTCGCTAATAGGGTGTTTTCGTAGACCGCATTGTTCCCTCCGCTAAGCCCTCCGCAACGAAGAACCCGCTACCGCGCCTGCGCGCCGATCGATGGCCTTGGCTGTAGAGTTGCGGGTAGCGGAGGGGCTTAGCGAAGGGGGAAACACGGTCTACTAAAACTCGCTAATAGGGTGTTTTCGTAGACCGCGTTGTTCCCTCCGCTAAGCCCTCCGCAACGAAGAACCCGCTACTGCGCCTGCGCGCCGATCGACTGCCTTGGCTGTAGAGTTCCGGGTAGCGGAGGGGCTTAGCGGAGAAGAAACACGGTCTACTAAAATTTGCTAATAGGGTGTTTTCGTAGACCGCGTTGTTCCCTCCGCTAAGCCCTCCGCAACGAAGAACCCGCTACTGCGCCTGCGCGCCGATCGATGGCCTTGGCTGTAGAGTTCCGGGTAGCGGAGGGGCTTAGCGGAGGGGAAGCACGGTCTACTAAAACTCGCTAATAGGGTGTTTTCGTAGACCGCATTGTTCACCGCTAAGCCCTCCGCAACGAAGAACCCGCTACTGCGCCTGCGCGCCGATCGATGGCCTTGGCTGTAGAGTTGCGGGTAGCGGAGGGGCTTAGCGGAGGGGGAAGCACGGTCTACTAAAACTCGCTAATAGGGTGTTTTCGTAGACCGCGTTGTTCCCTCCGCTAAGCCCTCCGCAACGAAGAACCCGCTACTGCGCCTGCGCGCCGATGGTCTTTGCTGTAGAGTTCCGGGTATCGTAGCGGGTTGCAGAGAGCGTTGCGGGACGGCGAAAACGATCTACGAAAACTCCCTATTGATGGGCAGAGAACACTAAACACCATGATCGCCACTCGACGAAACAAAAAGCTGGCAGAGCAGTTAACAACTTTTAAAGCACCATAAGTGACAAGGTCCTATCCCCAGATATGGGTATAAATAACAAAGGGCGAAAACACGAATATAATTGACTAGACAAAGCTATTTATGAAGGATGCAATAACGAGCTGATAGTCAAAAGACGCGAAATCTGCACTATCTAGTTTGTGCAGGTGAGTTGTATACGGCCAGGGAGCATAATATCGGGAAATAATTGTCAGGATAAGTAGAAAAATTAACTAAAATTTGTTAGTTGAATTTTTTTAATTATCGAAAATAAAGATATGGTTTCAAGAGAAGCTTGCTGAACGTGATCGAAAACCACTAAATAAATCAATGTTCGAAAGATTCGGGGCGCGTGGGTGGTGCGCTAAAGTTCCCACTCGTGCAACAGGCGCAAGGCTAGCGGCGCGGAATGCGCCCGCGCGGTTTTTCCGTCTCTTATCATCCGTGTTTTCGCACCGCCAGCATTGCACCGGTTGCACAAGTGGTAACTTTAGCGCACCTCCGCGTTTCCCACGCGCCCCAAATATAAAATAAAATGCTTAGATGGACCAGTTGGTACATCGTGGGAAATAAGCGCCGAGGGAACAGGGACCAAGAGTAGAATGTTATTCTAGTCTTGGTCCCTGTTCCTTCGGCGCTTATTTCCCACGCGCCCTAAATATTTCTAAAATTTAGATATTTAGTAGCATTCGGTGACGCTCATCAAGTTTCCGATTGAAACCATATCTTTACCATCGATAATTAAAAAGTTAATTAATCAATTTTAGTTAATTAATCGACTTATAGCGACGATTATTCCCCTATATTTTTGTCCCCCTAGCCGTATACTCACTTGAACAGACCGCGTCGGTGTAGTTCTCACGGCTTCTTTATAAAGGGGTACGGAAACAAAATGACATGGCCGCGAGCTCTCGAGTCTCTCTACCTCTCGCTTCAAAATCGGTCGGCGAGAAGCGCAGTGACGTCAGTTGCCTCTGCACGGCCAAAGGTACTGTGTAGTTGCGAGCATTGTGGCTCGGTGGCGTCACCGTGTGTCACTCTAATATCCGACGGCTATTCGAGGGCTCTACACATTCGCGGCCATTCCGGTATTTTATGTGCCGTGAGCTTTCAGTTCACCGTGTTAGTTTCACACCGCAAAAGTAGGAGCTCGAGGGAACAATAACCGTCAGTACCCATCAATGACAACAACTGCAAGCTATGCATATCAGGTATTCACTGGGTGCCATATATGAGTCTGTTATTGGCAGTGTATCCTAAGGGGGAGGGGGGGGGGGGGATGTACGTTGCGGAAGCACTGTGGATTTCTTCACCAAGCTTATCGATTCCGTTCAAGCCCGAGTTGTCTATACATTTGTGCTGTACTTCCGAGAGTGGCTCTCGGCAGGAGGCATCCAATGTCATGAGTCATGACCAGGGTGGTCATGACGACATTTATCTCCCAACTAAAATTAGTTTTCGTGTGTTTACGAGCGAAAAACGGTGTTTCTGAGGTGCTGACACAACGTTGTCTCTGGATAAAGAAAAAAATAAGAGCTAAAATTTCGTTTCGGTACCCCTTTAAAGTAAATCTAAAAATACAAAAAAAAAATACCCTGTTATTTCCATATGTAAGGCTGGCGCAATATTGAGAGGAAAAAAAAAAGTATGAGTATGAATTGTCTGGACACGAAGAGATCAACAGACCACGAATGCCGCAAAAGATAAATATTTCCCTTTCAGTCCAACAACTGAAGGTCGCGCCGCTACTAAAAATTACCCAGGTCCTGTTACTTCGCTATTCGGGGTCCACGCCATCCCAAAAAGTGCCGTACTTTTTCTAACTGTGTTTTTTGTTGTTCCAAAGAGGAAGAGCCTGGAAATGCCCCGTCAACTATCGAGCCACACTAGTGGAGCTCGGCCATGCGGCTGACAGTGGCGGAACTGCGCGTGTCGGCTCCACCAGCGGCGACCACGCGGCTTCCCGACGGATGCCGGCGTGGATGCCGGCGTCGCGCTCGACCGACCCCGGCGGCAGCGACGACGACCGACCGCCGGTTTCGGTTCAGCCGTCGGCAGCAGAACGCTAATGCCAGCTGACGGGACTTCCGCCGGAATCCTCCTCTGTGACACCGACTACCCGTCGCCATCGGCACGCACCTGAGTCGCTAAATCCGTTCAAAAATTGGCTCTTCGTCAGCCGAAATGTGACGAGTCAGAAAAGCATCACTTGTAGACTAGCGACAAACATCGGAGTTACGAAGGTCCCGGTCACAACTTATTAAAATAGCTAATGTACGTTTTACTGACCAACAAAAATAATCGGGGTCTTCTTGGCCCTACTGTAAAAGCTCGGTGTTTTCTTTATGTGGTCTTTGATACGTACTTTAGCTATTTAAAATGTACCACACGGCTATCAAGCCCCTCGTAAAATTTCGGGCCGTCTGTTCGACTATAGGGCGCTGTACGTCGAATTTAAATTTTGGGGTGTATTATATGGGACAAGGGGTGTAACGATACACCCTTTTACACCGTTTTTTCTTGAGAGTGCAGGAATGCGAAAGCCTTCCTACAAGCAGCGCGCAACGTCTTCCTTTTTCACACGGCGCTCCGGCGTTGACATCACGTTCCCCCATTGCGCAGGCGCGGTGCACCCGCCGGCTCCACGGCTTCCGAGACGATGCATTTGCGTTGCTGCGCTTTTCTTTGTGTTTTATATTTTGTGAGGCACGTCCGCTTTGACCTTGAGCGGCACCGCCGGCTTCCGTGACGAAGTATCTGATATGACGCGTCGCGGCCAATGAGACTTCAGGTGCCGTTTCGCTCAACCAATAGAAAAATGGGAATTTATGTGCCGTTTTTCGCTGCTACAGACACCGCTAACGCCGGCTTCGCTGCATGGGACAGTTAATGCTTTCGCCCTAAAAGTTACGTTTGCCGGATGCGCCGAGTTCCCT